AGCAACAACAGGAAGGGAGGCAAAACAATAGGAAAATAACTGGTTACTACCCGGGTACTTTACCATCAGGTTATCTTTTTCTGTGAAAGAGCTAAGGCAGAGGGAATTTCATTAATAATTCTGATTTATCAGAAGGAAAGATAAAGAGCTTAGTTTCAACTTGTGAGAGTATACCATAGCATGAGTGACTCCATGTTGATTTTTAGTTTAGACTGTTGGGGCTTAGTAAAGGAGCTTAGTCCAAAACAATGGCCTTCTATAATTTTATTTAATACCTCTCATCTTTAAGGTTGTTACTACAAATAATTTACTGGATTTTTTTTTTTCTTTTGAGGCTGTTCTTAGTCTCTTAAGTTCTTGCCACTTCATGCAGTAGCCGACTTAGGTATATTAGAATGTTTTTGTTTCAAATGCTTTATTTTCATCATTTTGGAGAGTAAATGAAAGTTACATATAGGGTAGTTGAAGTTCATAACATCTTATTGTCCCAAGTTAGTTTCTAACCTACTTAGATGCTTACCTGCTGCTTGTCGTGTCCCTTTCCCTTTCCCAGGCTCTTTCTGGAGGAGAGCATCTTAGCAGCTGGTAGGCCTGAGGGGAGAAAGGTAGGCCATACTTATGATTTCGTTGAGATTGTTCAGGGGCTGCCCTATTAACTGGGCAATAGCAGTTCTTCACAGAATCCTAGTTATGTTTAGGAAAACTCACTCCTCATATTGCTTCTGTTCCTCTTTTACTTCCACTCAAATGCTTTCTGACATGCCTTCACTGTCAGGTGTGAATTTCCACCGGGGAGTACACATTTTTAACATATACTCAAAACAGTACAGCCAAATCAACTTATCCCTTTAACAAGTAAGCTTTTTATAACTTTTTATTTGTTCAGAAGAGATTTGGTAAGTTGTCAAGAATGCCAAAATGATCACAATGTATATAGCACTGAGTATTCTGGGGAATGCAAATAAATGAAGTATAAATCATATCAACAAATTTGCTTAGCACATAAAAGAGAACTCATCCCTTCAAATAGCATATGCCTCATTGAAATGAATTAAGTATATGAAGCAATCAGAGAATATGATAAAATTCTAAATTATACAGTGGCAGCAACTACTTAGAGTGTTACCAGAGGGAATTTTCCTAATCTGTACTCAGTTAATCTCTAAGAGCAGATTTTCAGAATTGGTGCTTGTTGAATGTATTTTTGTATGGGAATAAGCAAGGGCTTAGAAYTGTACTAGCTATCTTTGGGCTCCATCTCTAGGAATGTGGAATCAAATGTTATTATTTTGTACCCCCAATAGAGTAAAAGAAATGCAATATAGCAAGAACATGAATAATTCAAATATACTTGGGGTTATAGATTCTTGAAATCTCTGATGAGGAAATGTAATCTTACTTATTTGATTTGGCTGTACTATTTTGAGTTAAGTTTAGGGATAACTTTTAGAGGTCATTTTAGAATTCTAGCCCTAAGTGGGACACAGTGGCACAAGACTATAATCCCAGCTACTCAGGAGGCTGAAGCAGGCAGATGGCAAGTTTGAGACCAGCCTTGGCAGTTTAGTGAGACCCTGTCTTAGAATGGAATAAAATATTTAAGAAAAGAATTTTAGCCCCGAGTGACATCCTTTGTTTAGCCATAAGAGGGTTCAGTGTAACTCCATGATGCAGAAACTAGGAACTGTTGCTCTATGTTAACCTTGCTTACCAGTGACATTTGAGATGAAAAACTAAACCAAAACAAAACAAAAAACCAAAACCCTGTATAATCAGAGTTGAGCTGTTTCTGTTGCAAAAATGCTGGTTCCCTTCATTCCTGGTAATTTTCACTAATCTTTTAAGGAATCATCAAAGGTGATGAATTTGAGAATAATATCAGTCAAGTCTCCCAAAGACTGATACTGTGTTTCTCAAGATTTGTGATGTTTTGCTTTATTTTTTATACTATTTTTTGTGGGAACCATGGTAGCTTCCTGATTTTTAGAGAACTAGGACAGAGTTCTAGAAAACTCTATGCTTCTGTACKTCTACGTACTCTCCAGGGAACATTTATTTACATAACAAATTAATATGGATAGGAAGAAGGATTCCCCACTTTCTCCGCTCTTAACTCTACCCACATGAGCAAAACACATACATGTTCAGGCCTAAGAAGAGGAAAGCACCTTTTGTGTTTATGGTCTTAATAATAATAATAATAATAATAATAATAATAATAATAATTTTTAGCAACTAGAAACTATTTCATAAAGTCTGATTTGTATTTAGAGTACCTGGATTCAACTGATAACATATATCGTTGCTATTTAAACATCATCGGAAAGAAATTTTTAGAGTTCATGCCATTAAATTTGTACAATCATGCATGTGTACACTAGGCCAGTAATAAGAACATTGGCTGCTTGTTTTGTTTTCCAATGAGAATTTTAATGTTGTCTTTAAGATTCATGCCAGGCCTGGTGGCACACACCTGTAACCTCAACAACTTGGGAGGCAGGAGGATCATGAATTCAAAGCCAGCCTCTGCAACTTAGTGAGGCCCTAAACAACAGAGCAAGACCCTGTCTCAAAATAGAATCTAAAAAGGGGTGGAGATGTGGCTCAGTGGTTAAGCATCCCTGTTTTTAATCCCTAGTACCAAAAAAAAAAAAAAAAAAAAAAAAGATTCACAAGTATAGTCCACTTTCTAGGTAAGCAGGCTACCAAGGAGCTACACCCATAGCCTTGAATATGGTCAGCTTTCTGTCAATAGTGTTTTTTGCCTGCCTACAATCACACTATAATCTAATGTACTAGGGAATTGGTGTATACTGCTGAGGGATATAAGTACATAAAAGGAATTGTTTTTTCCTCTGTTCATGTAAAAAATTGATTTTTACTTTCTTTATAATATAATGTTTATAGATAAGGTTTGTGTTTATTTCCTTGTGAATGTGGAGAATGTTAACAAGAATTACTAGATTTCTAACTTTTAACCTTTTGGAGGAATCTTTTTAATTTTTTTTATTATTATTATTTGCATTACAATTCTTAACACACCTTTATACTACAATTTATCATATCTCTGATTGTATATAAGGTATGTTGACACCAAATTCACATCTTCATACATGTATTTCGTATAATGATGAGGGTTTTGGAGGAATYTTAATTGTTTATTTTATTTCATGTATCCTGTTCCCTGTCTTTTGTACTAGAAGTACTCTGTGGCCTATCAATATTTTCTTTCTTTCCTTTTTTTTTAAACTTCTAATTATAGAAAAATTTAAAAAATATACAAAGTCACCAGAGCAATGTGACGATCCCATTTTATATCCATTTCTCTGTGTTTGTTTGTTTGTTTACAGTACCAGGATGGAACCCAGTAGTATTCTACCACTGAGCTACATCCCCAATCCTTTTTGTTTTTTTGAGACAGAGTCTTGCTAGATTACTGAGGCTGTCCTTGAACTTGTGATCCTCCTGCCATGGCCTCCTAAATCACTGAGGTTACTGGAATAAAGAATAAAGAAAAGAGGAGCTGTGGTTGTAGCTCAGTGGTAGAGCACTCACTTCGAATGTGTGAGGCCTTGGGTTCAATCCTCAGCACCACATAAAAATAAAATATATAAAATAAAGGCATTGTGTTCACCTACAACTAAAAAAAAATAATATTAAAGAAAAGAGGTTTATTTAGCACACAGTTCTATTTGTTCTTGACATAAAATGCAGTTCCCACTTTGTAGATGAAGGAATGAAGACTCAAGGAGGCTGGCTTATGATTTGCCTAAGTTTTCCGGGACTGAAATTTACAGCTTCTGACCTAATCCAGTACTCTTATCCCAGCACCTGAGAATGCCTAGCATACTAGAGTTCATTGAATTTCTTTGGTATATCTTTTGTTTGCAAGTTTAGGAAAACTGATAGATATAAGAAGCTTTTTCTTGGTGGAGATAGCTAGTAGGGACATCTCAATATTAATTTTATTCCACATAAAGTTAGATCACTTTGAAATATGTACTAGTAATTGATTTGCTCTTTTTATGTGGCTTCTAAAGAATTATAAAAATTATTTTAGTCCTTATAGTAGATCAGCTAATGTGGTTATAAAGTTACTGTAGTTGCCTTTCTGAAAGCAAATATAGTACTGAGTATATTAGTCCATTTTGAGTTGCTTTAACAAAATACCTAATGCTGGGTGAAGAATAAAGAAATGAGGTTTATGTAGCACACACTTCTAGAGATTCAAGAGCATGGCACTGATATATGGCTTTGGTGAGGGCCACTTGGCAGATGACATCAGAATGTGTCAGAGTGATAGAAATACACTTAGATTTGTTGTTTTTTAAGAGACAGGGTTCCTCTATCTTGCCTAGGCCTGCCCTGAACTCCTGGGCTTTAGTGAGCCTTCAGCCTTGGCCTCCAGAGAACTGGAATTACAGGTGTTTGCAGCTATGCCTGGTGAGAAATGCACCTAATAAAGAGATTCAAGGGATGCCAAGCACCCTTATAACAACCCATTCTCTCAGGTACTAATGCAGTCCCAAGAGACCTGCATTCATCCCTTTTGAGAGGGGTGCCCAATTACCTAATTACCTTCCAGTAGGCCTCACCTCTTAAAGGTTTTACTACCTCAGCATTGCCACACTGAGGACCAAGCTTCCAGCTCAAAACCTTTAGGGACATACTAAAACCATACCCAAAGCACATCCCTGAGTGTCCTAGATTTACATTTTGGAATAGTGCATATAATTTTCAGAGCCCTTAGGACCCCCTGACAATAATTCCTAGAAATTCTGTCTTTGGGTGGTTTTAGCAGCGGATGTCTGTCATCACTTACATTGTTGTGGTCAAGGGCTATTACAGCAGGTAATATGAACTGAATGGTTTGGATGAAACCGTACCAAAGTAAGGAATGTTTATGACTTTTCCAAAGCAAATTGGAGTTAAATTTTTTGGACTGTAAATCTGCTTTTGCCTCATTGTCTGATATTAGTGTGTTGTTTGTTTTATTTTAGTGATGTCCTCGCATTGCCCATTTTTAAGCAAGAAGAGTCAAGTTTGCCTCCTGATAACGAGAATGAAATCCTACCTTTTCAATATGTGCTTTGTGCTGCCACCTCTCCAGCAGTGAAACTTCATGATGAAACTCTGACCTATCTCAATCAAGGTTAGATGCTTCCTCAACCATTCATATTAGCGCAGACCTGCTGAATACATGTTATTTTATTAGAAACATTTTTAATGTAAAATTTAGATATTTCTAGAGTGTCCTGTCATATTAGAAGCTTTGCTTAAGAGATTTGAGTTTTAATGTCACATTTGATATATATGACTGACTCCTTTTGTCTACCTGTCTGTTTTTAGTTCCCAGCTCTCTCTTTCTAATCCATGTTCTAATCCATCTCCCCACTGGTTACTATCTGAGAARTATTATCCTATCCAACTCTACTATTTGCCAGTTATGTGGCCTTGGACGAGTTGCTTAAACTCTTCCAGTTTTAATTTCCATATCTGTAAAAGTGAGATTGATAATGCCTTAGAAAGTTATATAAATTACATGAAAAATTATGTGAAAGTGGTTACCACAGTGCCTAGCATATAGTAAAGCCTTAGATTGTCACTGATTCTTATGTTACCTGTGTATACAGCCAATTGAATTTTATCCTTTCTGAAAGTTTATTTGTGAAAAGTACCCTATGTAATTATTTTTTTTTCTAGGGCAGTCTTATGAAATTCGAATGCTAGACAATAGGAAACTTGGAGAACTTCCAGAAATTAATGGCAAGTTGGTGAAGGTAAAAGAAAAGGAGTAAATCATTCTTCTGTACAATATGCTTTTACTGACCCTTTTTGATTGATTTTTTTCTTTCTTTCTTTCTTTTTTTGGTCTAATATTCTTTTGTTTTCATTAAGAGTTTAATGGTTTATCGGTCACAATTGGCTGGAGGAGTGTGAAGCTAGTGTATTTTTTCTTTGGAGTCAGATTAAGCTCCCCCTCTTCACATGTTTTTTTTCAGAGATGCAGAAGGCTTACTAGTTCATGTCCAGGGTAGTCCCGTGGCTCAGTGAAGTTCTTTTGGGTGGAGTAAAGTAACCTCCTTGACGGTGTGTGTGTGTGTGCGCTTGTGTGTGCTGCTAGGGATTGAACCCAGAGTACTTTACCACTGAGCTACAAGGTCTTGCTAAGTTGTGATCAATTGGCCTCAAACTTGTGATCCTCCTGCTTCAGCCTCTCAAGTTACTGGGATTACAGGCCTGCACTACCTCTTCTGGTTTCTCCTTGTGATCTTTAGATAAACTTCAGTGGCTCTTTGGATACTTGGTCCTTGTAGCAAGGAAAACAGAAACTGCTATTTATGAATAGTAGTTCTTTTTGTCTAGACTGACAGTAAGGATTTTGAGAAATCATAACACAATTGGGACAAAGGAGTTTTATGAGCAGCTGTAAAAGTGGTGGTAGGGACTAAAAGGCACCTCCACAAGGGAAGTGTAACAAAAGAAAAGTTGATGGAAATGGGCTGTACCAACCCTAAGTGTTTTCAGGTTATATCTGGTTAGCAAGCAGGGAATGTGATGAGTTTTTCATATATACCTGAAGAACGAGCCAGATATTATGTAGTGTAAGAGTAGAAGCATATAGAAATGCTTCACATAGGAGTCCTAACAGTTAACTACAAAGACTATATGTGGGCTGGGGTTGTGGCTCAGCAGTAGAGAACTTACCTAGCACATGTGGAGGCCCTGGGCTCAATCCTCAGCACCATATAAAAATAAGTAAGTAAAATAAAGGTATTGTGTCCAACTATGACTAAAAAATAAATACTTAAAAAAGATTATATGTGAGAAATTATAAAATTTATCCTGACACAGAACTTGGTATCTGGCACAGGTTTTAGAGGGAAGTAATGTTAAGAAGACTTTAGATTTTGTCTAAAAACCCAATTAGCAATGACTCAACTAGTTTTCCTTTGTCAGCGCTGATTTTCAAGATAGCCTATTAACTGGTTTTGTTGTTCCTTTTTAGAGTATATTCCGTGTAGTGTTCCATGACAGAAGGCTACAGTACACGGAACATCAGCAGTTGGAGGGCTGGCGGTGGAACCGACCTGGTGATAGAATTCTTGATATAGGTGAGTTAAGAGAAATGCCTTTAAGGATGGACTGAGAATTGTTTTCTTTACTTGACATTTACATTAATTCATATGCTTCAGAGGCTCAGTTAGCATGAGCCTTGAAGTGGTTATTTACTAAACACAAAAAATTATTTGTATGATGGTATCAAAATTGAAGTTGGAAGTATAAACATTTCACTTCTACAGCAATTGCATCCATGACTTCGGGGTGGTTTCGTTTTGTTTTTAAACTGTGGGAAAATATGATAACATGCAATATTATAATGTATTATATAAAATTTATCTTTTTAGCTATTTTTAGCTGTACAATTCAGTATTAAGTACATTTACTTTATTGTGCCACCATCACCACCATCCATCATCTCCAGGACTTTTTTCATCTTGCAAAACTGAAATTCTGTACTCATTAAACAATAATCACCCCTCTCCTTCCTAGCCCCTGTGTCCTCTATTTTGCTGTCTCTATGAATCTATGAATGGATTACTGTAGATACCTCATGTAAATAAAATCATACAATATTTATCCTTTTGTGACTGAGTTCTTTTACGTATTAGCATAGTGTTTCCTCCATGTTAGAATTTCTTTCCTTTTTTTTTTTTGTGTTGTATGTGTACATGCATATATGTGTATRTATTGGGGATAAAACCYAGGGCCTTGTACATTTAGAATTTCTTTCCTTTTTARGGCTAAGTAATATTTCATTATATGTATATACTACATATATACTACATTTTGTTTATCTATTCATCTGTTGATGAATACTTTTTAGTTATTGTGAATAATGCTACTGTGTACCTGGATATACAAATATTTGAGTCTCAGGTTTTCATTTCTTTGGGGTATATACCCAGAAGTGGGATTACTGGATCACAGAATTAAATTCTAATTTTTTTGAGGAAGAACTATTTTCTACAGTGGCTGCACATTTTACATTCCCACCGGTAGCGCTCAAAGGTTCCAATATTTAATGTGTGTTTGTGTGTGTATGTGTATCTGTGTCTATGTGGTATTAGAAATCAAACCCAGGGCCATATAAATGTCAGGCAAGCACTATACCATTGAGCTACAGCCCCAACCTTTGAAGTTTTTTTTTTTTTTTTTTTTTTGAGAGAGAGAGAGAGAGAGAGAATTTTTTAATATTTATTTTTTAGTTTTCGGTGGACACAACATCTTTATTTTTATGTGGTGCTGAGGATCGAACCCAGCGCCCTGCGCATACCAGGCGATCATGTTACTGCTTGAGCCACATCCCCAGGCCTCATTTTTTTTTTWAAATAGCTATTGTAATGGATGTAAAGTGATATCTCATTGTGGTTTTGATTAAATTTTGCTTAATAATTAGTGATGTTGAGCATTTTTTCATATGCTTACTGGCCCTTTGAATAGCATTGTGTGTGGTGTGGGTGCTACTGGGGATTGAACATTGGGGCACTCTATCATGAGCTATACCCTCAGCCCTTTTTAATTTTTTTATTTTGAGATAGGCTCTAAGTTGCCGAGGCTGGCCTTGAATTTGCAATCTTTTTGCCTTAGCCCCCTGAGTTTCTGGGATTATAGGCATGCACCATTGCCCCCAGCAGTTGGTTAATATTTTCTATTGGTAGATATAGTTGTTAAGCAAGCTTAAGAACTACTGATTTTACCTGAGAAATCAGTGATTCTCATACAGTTATCCTGAGATTTGTATGAGAAATTGACCTCAGATGAATCCAACACAACTAATATTGTGGAATGGGATCTATTTGATGCTTTCTTGTTTGAATCATTGATGCCAAAACAGGAGTTTAGTTATAGCATGGGGTTGATAATAAGTAATATCACCTAACCTTATCTCTCTAGTTTGAATATTAATGGGAAAAGTCAGGGAATGATATTTGAATATATACCAAGTGGAATATAAAGTAAGGTTTTACTAAAATCCATTAAATTTTTCCCTCTTTTTTTAAACTTTATTTTTTAATTTATTTTTTAAATGTAGTTGGACACAATACCTTTATTTTATTTATTTATTTTTATGTAGTGCTGAGGATCAAACCCAGYGCCTTGCACATGCTGTGTTAGCATTCTACCACTGAGCCACAACCCCAGCCCCCAATTTTTTTCTTCTTGAGCATATTTGTCACTGTGTTATCAGATTACCTGGTGATTTGGTAAGTCAGCATCAATCTTTGTTAAACTTTTCATGCTTCGTCTGTGATATAATACTTTCTGCCTTTGTACAGGCACTGCTGCACCTGTCTAGTAATCCTCTCAATGTGCTTCTAGCAGTAACACAAATCTTCAGACTATAAATAAAAYTCATCATAAATTACAATTTTTGTGATAGTAGAGCTGGTATATAGACCTAACTTATTTTCAAATAGAATTTTAGCAAATTAAAAAAAAAACTGTCTTAAAATTGCCTGATTTCAAAGACTTGGTCAAATGGAAGAAAGGTACTCAAAAGGAGAATACTTAAGTCAATGTTAACTTTTATTTTCTTCAGTGTTGGGGATTGTATCCAGGGCCTTGTGTATGTTAGGGAAATGTTCTACCACTAAGCTATACCCCTAGCTCCCAGTTTTAACATTAATCAGATTTTACATTGGCAATAAAGAGATTATGGATTTTATATCCCCCAAATTTTAGTAACTAGGGATAAGTGATGTAAGAATGAGTGCTTTCTTACATAAATCTGAGCAGTCTTGGGTGTGATGGCACATGACTTATTCCAGCTACCTGGGAGGCTTAAACCAGAAGATCACTTGAGTCCAACAGTTTGAAGCCAGCCTGAATAACACAGCACAACTCTATCTCAAAACAAAACAAAGTAAAACAAGGAGCCCTCATAACCATTCAATGATTACCATTTTGTTTCTTAGATATCCCAATGTCTGTGGGTATAATCGATCCTAGGGCTAATCCAACACAATTAAATACAGTGGAGTTTCTGTGGGACCCTGCAAAGAGGACATCTGTGTTTATTCAGGTAAGGCCTTGCAAATGTATTTCCAGTTATGAAGAACATCTCTTTCTACCAGTTTGTTTCTTAATGGATGATATGTGTTAAATATGAAATTTTTTTGAGTGCTGGGGTTTGAACCCAGGACCTCACTACTGAGCTACACCCTTAGCCCCTAAATTTGAATTCTGTTCAGGGTTTTAACCTGTCATATACAAATTTCTCAACATGTGCCTAAGCACGGAGGAGTTTTTTAATTGCTCTTCTAATTACCCAAATTTATTTATTTATATCTTCCTAAAATTCCTATTAATGGCTGCATAATATATCATTCTTTGGTGGTACCATTAACTCACCTAACAGTTATTTAGCGTCTAAATTGTTCTGATTCTCCCGGTTATCTATAAGGATATTTTGAACATCTGTATACTTAAAATTGAATTTGCATATCTCATTTATCCTTTGGGTAGTTTCCTCAAAAATCTTTATTTTAATGATAGCTACTAGTTTGTTTAGTACTTAACATTGAGATAGTTACTGTGTTAAATGAACACTTTGTATATATAACTTTAAGGTTTATAATACTGTGGAGTAAGAACAGTCTTTGAGGCTTAGAAAGATTGAGTAATTTTTTAAATTAAAAAAAATTTTAAGTTGGGGATGCACACAATACCTTTTATTTTATTTATTTATTTTTATGTAGTGCTGAGGATTGAACCCAGTGCCTCACACATACTTGGCAAGTGCTCTACTACTGAGCTACAACCACAGCCCCAAGATTAAGTAATTTACTCAAGCTAGTAGGTGGTCAATCAGACAAGGTTCTATTGTTAAGATTCACCAGTTTTAGACTTTATGCAGTAGCCAAGCAAATATTTTTCACCTATTACTGTGAGCTTCAATATTTGCTATTTTCACAGCATGAAGTTTGCCTCCTCTTTCTAAAGTCCAGTTTAAAGATGAAACAATASTAACTTAAATAATTTCTCTTTTATATGAACTCTGTATTCTCTGAAGCAGATAATAAATTTAGTTCCTCACAATAGCTTTTGATAGCATGAGATCTGTATATCTACTTTGTTTACATTCATAAATCACTTACATTTTTCTCAATTCCTACATTAGACTGTATTTTCTTCAGAATGCAAAATGGAGGAAAAGTCTTTTGTAGGTATTCATAAATGTTTGTTAAAGGTTTTGCTGTTTGTAATTTCTCAAAAAATATTGTTGACTGGTTGGCTAGCTAGCAGTACTGAAGCCTTGATGTTGTATTCCTTTCAGGTACACTGTATTAGCACAGAGTTCACAATGAGGAAACATGGAGGAGAAAAGGGGGTGCCATTCCGAGTACAAATTGATACCTTCAAGGAGAATGAGAACGGGGAATATACTGAGCACTTACACTCAGCCAGTTGCCAAATCAAAGTCTTCAAGGTATTCCTGGGCAGTGGGCTGGACCTTGGATACTTTTTTCTTATCTTTCTATTTTAACATTAGTTACTAAGAAAGTCAACTTGTCATTTGCAAAAACTGCAAAGTCAGTCTAAGTTAGAGTCATTGAAATGACTGCTGAGATGCATGTTACTTTATGTGGGTATAGGCATGGAATAATGGGAACTTGGAAAAGGGGGCTATATGCAAAAAAGAAAGCAAAAGAATTCTCATTAAAAACTCTTAAAGCCTGTTGAAGTTACAAGCTCTTTTAAAGCTCACAAAAATTGTGGAGAGTTGACTAATTTAGTTTTATTCATACTTGATCTTCTTTATTTTGATCTTTCTTTTTATTACATGGATAAATACATTCTTATTGCAAGTGACTCATTAATATAAAAGTATTCAAAGCACAACACTGAAATTTCCCTTAATCACTCTTACCCTAACTCCCCAACTTCTTCCCAGAGATAGCCACTGATATAACATGGTATACACTTCTTCCCTTTTATGCTTTTATATGCATGCATGCATAGGTATTCACATATTTTTCTTTATTTGAAACATAAATAGAATTATACTATATAAATCATTTTGAGACTTGATTTTTTTTCAGTTAACTATGTACTTTAGAGATCTTCCCATCTGTCTTATTCTTTTCCAATTGTATCAAACATTTAAATTTCCTGTTTTCAGACTTAGATAGGGTGATGCATTTCATCATACATCATTGTACATACCTGTTTGTTTCAGATGTGAATATTTAAGTTTTTTAAATTAATATTGTTAACCAGGTATGGTGGTGCACACCTTAATCCTAGCTATTTGTGAAGCTAAGGCAAGAGGATTTCAAGTTCAAGGCCATCCTGGGCAATTGAAGGAGACCCTGTCTCAAAATAAAAAATAAAAAGGGTTAGGGATGTAGCTCAGTGGTATCTGACCCAAGGCCTGGGTTCCATCTCCATTGCCAAAAAAGAAAAAAAGTTATATTGTTGGGTTAAAGAGTGAGTACTTGAGGTTAAAATAGAACATTTCTCATTTCAGCCCAAAGGTGCAGACAGAAAACAAAAAACAGATAGAGAGAAAATGGAGAAACGAACACCTCATGAAAAGGAGAAATATCAGCCTTCCTATGAGACAACCATACTCACAGAGGTAAAAAGGATTTCTTTTGGTGACAATTTCAGTCCATAATTTTAACTCTTTTGTGTATGTGTGGTGCTGGGACTCGAACCCAGGGCCTTGTATGGCTAGGCAAGTGTTCTACCACTGAGCTATACCTATGACCCCTTAATTTTTACTCTCTTAAAGAAAAATCTGTCATTTCTAGCCTGTCTAAATTTACTTCTGAGCATATTCTTTTTTTGCTTATGGAGACCTCTGAGGAATTAAGATTTACTAATCAAGATGTTCTATTCAAGGAATAATATTTTAATGGAACACTAGAATTAAATGTGCTTTTTCATTATCTAAGTTATCCTTTGTTTTTAGTGTTCTCCTTGGCCTGAGATCACCTATGTCAATAATTCCCCATCACCTGGCTTTAACAGTTCCCATAGCAGTTTTTCTCTTGGGGAAGGGTAAGTCTGGGAAATGAAATTTGCTTTTGTTTGTACTAAATATGTATTCTTTCATTAGTTTCTGTTAACTTTCCAAATCAATAAGTAGTTCTGTTTGGTCAGTCTTGATGAAGTTTTGCAGTATCAGAGATTTGGATTATCTTCAAAAGAGATTGAAACAATTTATAGCCCTTTTCCCTCCCCTCTGTTCTCCTCATTCTTGAAATGGCGTTAACTATTAGAGCATTAATGGTCAGCTTTTAGTGATTTTTGGAAGGCTGGGGGATACCAGGGATTGAAATCAGGGGCACTCAACCACTGAGCCACATCCCCACTCCTATTTTGTATTTTATTTAGAAACAAGGTCTCACTGAGTTGCTTAGCACCTCTCTTTTGCTGAGGCTGGCTTTGAACTTGTGATCCTCCTGCCTCAGCCTCTGTTGCCGCTGGGATACAGGTGTGCACCAGCACCTGTCTTGCTTATTTAGGCTTCTTGATTTACCCTATTTTTGCTCGTGTTGTGGTTATGTCACATCGTGGTCAGACTTGCACCAGGAAGTGGTCATTGGCAACTGGAAAAACAATTGTATAGACACTAAAATTTGTTTTATTACTTGTTAAGAATGTTCCTAACACCTAGTTATTGTGGATCTGCGATCATTGGGGAAAGTAGTTTGAAGATGATAGTTAAAATAAAGTTTTAGAATTATCTGTGGGATTGCATTTAATCTTGGCATATTACATTTCACTATCAGAGATAATTGAAAGTTGGTGCAGAACCCTGCCCCAATTTTTAAAAGTCTTTAAAAGTCTTACAGTCCTAGCATTTAACATGTATTCTACATAGCCATATTGTAACTTGGAAATAGGCTACTAAAAAGTGTGAGCATATTGTTTGTTTGTAATGTTTGTTTTTTGGATTTATTTAGGCTCTATATTTGACCTACTTCTTAAAGTATTTAATTAAGGTAGCTTAAATATTTAAAATGAAGCAATTAAGCATAAAAGAGGCATTTATTTGTAGAAGGTCTATATATAACCAGGGCCCTGAGATAAATTAATTACTGTTTTTTAAAATTATATTAAGTTTTAATACCAAATTTTAGCTAAGGCTAAAAAGAGAAAAAACATTTTTTGTTGTTTATTTTAAGGGACAAGGTCTTGTGATCTTCTTGTCTCAGCCTCTGAAGTACCTGGGACTATAGGTGCACACCACTCTGTAAAGCTAAAAAAAAAAAAAAAAAAAAAGACCTTTTGGAAACAAAAATTTCTTGCCATCCACAAGGATGGCGCAGTCTTCTTATAGGAACTTTAAATATTTATATGTGGTTTAAAGTTTGTGTTTTAAATTTTTCTCTGTCCTGTACTTCATTATTAGGATAATTTTTTTCCATAAAAAAGATAAGTGTTAGGGAAAAAAGATGATCCATAGAAAAAAGAAAGCATAAAGAAAAACCAAGGGTGTGGAGATAACTCTTGGATCACAAATCAGACAGCACTAATTTTTAAGCTGTTTTAAAAGTAATTGTTTTTCATTAGAAAAGTATGCAGTTCATAAATTTTCTTTCAGTTTTTTTCCTTTATGTATATGTTTACCTACTTAATATAGTAGTAATAGTAGTAAAATACTAGTACTTTTATATCCCCATATTTTTCATTCTAATCCATTTCTGTTAATAGCATTTATTTATTCATGAGTGCTGGTAATTGAACCCTGGGCCTTGTGCTTTCTAGGAAAGTGTTTTACCATTGAGCTATATCTCTAATCCCTTATGTTATGTTATTATTTTCTCATCAGTTTCACTTTTTAAAATTTTGATAGTTTTCTTAATTTCCTCAGTAATAAAAGTGTTGCAAATGACAGTTTCTTCTCTTCCCCCTGAAGTTTTCAAGTTAATTAACATATAACTTAAAGTTTTAGATCAAAGAATAAGAATGCTTTATGAGAATACATAGATTTTTTAAGTCTCTGGCTTAGGAGTTACTGTGAAGATGAAGAATGAGATAATGGACCCTACTATGAGTCATAGACTGATGCTTTCATTTTAAATGTTTCTTTAGAAATGGTTCACCAAACCACCAGCCAGATCCTCCCCCTCCAGTCACTGATGTAAGTCTAAATTTAAATGTCAATTATTTGCAATGTCTAATAATATTTTGATGACTCTGCAATTATGATATGCCCAACTTTTAAGGAATATTATTCATTCATGAAGCAAKCATTCATTGAATTTTTTCTGTAGGAACTGGAAATATGAACAAGTAATGGAGGACTCTTGGGGATTTTTTTTGTTTTGATTTTTTGAGAYAGGGGTCTCACTATGTTGTTCAGACTGGTCTCAGTTTGTAAGTTTCAGTGATCCCTCTACTTCAGCCTCCTGAGTGGGACTACAGGAACCCTTCAATTTGAGAAGTTTATAGTTTAGTAGGAAAGATAAGGATAGAGCTTCTTGGATAGAGAAAGAGATTGATGTAGTATAAACAACTTCCAAACAAGCGAGGCCTGTCTGAGTAGGTGTGTGGGTGGGTGGGTGATGTCTGGCTATGTAATACAYCAGTGAATCTATTTAATTACCAAAAACATGCTTTCTTCCTTTCAGAACCTCCTGCCAACAACCACACCTCAGGAAGCRCAGCAGTGGTTGCATCGAAACCGTTTTTCTACATTCACCAGGCTTTTTACCAACTTCTCAGGTTAAATTTGCTTTTCTTTTGATATGAGCAAATCATTCAAGGGTCTTCTGTTATCCTGATAGACATGTTTCTAATATTAGCAAATGCCATAATTCCATTCTTCTTAAAGCTGAGTAATATTCCATTGAATATATATACTACATTTTCTTTATCCATTTATCTACTGAAGGACACCTATGTGGGTTCCAAGTCCCCCTATATGCATTTCATTAGTGTATTTTTTCATTATTATTATTATTATTATTATTATTTGTACTAGGGATTGAGCACAGGGGCACTTTACCATTGAGCCACATCCTAGGCCATTTTATTTTTTTTATTTTGAGACAGGGTCTTATTAAACTGCTTAGAGCCTCACTAATTAGCTGAGGTAGGTCTTGAACTTGCAATTCTCCTGCCTTAGCCTCCCAAGTTGTTGGAATTTCAGGCATGTGCCACCGTGCCCAGCTTAGTGCATTTTTTTTGATGAAATGAATTTCATAAATCTTTCAGACTTTGTCACCATCTGGAGCTGTGCTGTGAGAGACTTAAAAAGAAACACTTCTTGGTTTGAATTCACTTTATTTAAAATACTTATTCCATGCAGTACTTCTAAAAATGTATATTCCATACATAATTTTATCAAGGGGCATTTGTAGGTAAAAATTTTCCGTTTGATATCACTATATTGTATTTTATTTATACAGCCCGCTTTTATTTAGTATCTTCTTTTTAAATTTTTGTTTTAATTAGTTATACATCACAATAAAATGCATTTATATATCATACATAGATGGGGTATGATTTCTCATTTTTTATTTATTTTTATGTGGTGCTGAGGATCTAACCCAGGGTCTCGCACGTGCAAGGCAAGAACTCTACTGCTGAGCCACAGCCCCTCATTTTTTTTTAAAATGAGAATTTTTTTCTAAGGTTATATACCATTGTGATCAATTTATTTATATGTGGTGCTGAGAATCAAACCCTGAGCTTCACACGGGCTAGGCAAGCATTCTACCACTGAGCTCTGATCCCAGCCCTTTCATTTTTCTGATTGTACATGTTGTAGAATTATATTAGTCATATATATATATATATACGTATATATATATACATATATATATACATATATATATACACATACATACACACACACACAGAGACAGATATAAATATAGATATAGATAAAAAGTAATAATGTATATTTCATTCTACTGTCCATCCTATCCTCATATCCCTCCCCTCCCTTCACTACCTAACTCTATTCTTCCCTAGTGCCCCCACCATTGTGAACTAGCACCCACATATTAGAGAAAACATTCCACCTTTTGTTTTGGGGGATTGACTTATTTTGCTTAGCATGATATTCTTCAACTCCATCCATTTACTGGCAAATGCCATAATTCCATTCTTCTTAAAGCTGAGTAATATTCCATTGAATATATATACTACATTTTCTTTATCCATTTATCTACTGAAGGACACCTATGTGGGTTCCAAGGTTTAGCTATTATGAATTGAACTGTTATAAACATTAAACATAGATATGGCTCTGTCACTGTAGTATTTAGCATCTTCTATGTACCATCTTCTATAGTAGGAATACACAAATTGATAAGGCATACTTCCTGATCAAAGACTTCATTCATCATCTAGTATATAAAAAGCTCAAATCAAAATAAAATCCCAGTAGATAATGTTCTAACACACATTTGTAGGAAGTGAGATGTTCAGGGGAGAGTCTGATATATTAAGGAGCATATGTGACATGTGAAGTGAATCTTGAGGGATGAGAAGAGGAACCTATTGGTCAGACAGTCAAGGATATTTCAGGCAGGAAGAACAGCTTGCTCATTCAGCACCACCAGCATGATGAAAGCATAAGGTTAAGTGAAGAAATTCATTGGATGAGACTTAGGAGATGAGGCAGGGACCAGGTAAAGAGCCTATGTACCATGCAAAAGATCGTGGGTTATAACATTACCGGTGATGAGGTATACTTGTAATAGAGTCCATCTTAATAGGTATTAACAAAGAGAATCTTTGCCTTTATCACCCATTTTCTTACATTTATTCCAGGGGCAGATTTATTGAAACTAACTAGAGATGATGTGATCCAAATTTGTGGCCCTGCAGATGGAATCAGACTTTTTAATGCATTAAAAGGCCGGTATGTAACTAGAGTTAAAATATCAATGAAGGGGCTGGGGTTGTGGCTCAGTAGTAGAGTGCAGGACTTGTGCTGTTAGGCACTGGGTTCAATCCTTAGTACCACATGAAAATAAAAAGGGTATTGTGTCCATCTACAACTAAAAATATATATATATATATATATATATCAATGAAGTTGAATTTCAGGTGAATTTGGGTTCAGGGATTCTTCACAATATTTTGCACAATTAAATGCATTGTGTCAAAACTTTTTTTAAAAGAAAATACTAGCTATGTACCAAGTAAACACAGATTAAAAAAATCCTTTCTTAAACTTAAAATTGATTCCCCATAATACCCCATTTTTTGCAGTAGTGGGGAGCTTACCCAGTGCCTTGTACATGCTAAGCAAGTGCTRTTCCACTGAGCTACTTCCCTAGCCCAATTTCCAGGTAGTTTTTTTCATCCAATAAATATGTATTGTCTTTATCATGAGCCAGTTACTATTGTAGGCTCTGGAGACATATTCATGAACAAAACAGACAAGTACCCATTGTTACAGAGTTTACTCTTTTTTTTTTTTAACTGGTGAGTTTACTTTCTAGTAGGGAGAAAACTATAATAAATAATAAATTTTTTGGATAGTGAGGGCTTTAAAGGCAAATAAAACAAATGTGCAAAAACAAGAGAATGGGCTACAGAGTACAGAGAAGATGGTCAGGAAAGAGGTCTATTAGGAGGGGATATTTAAACTGTTACGAGAAAGATGAAGGAGCTATGGAGTCATGAGGGAAGAACATTCTAGTCAGAAGAAACAGCAGGTGTTAAAGCCCTGAATCAGTTTTAACTGGAGAACAGATCATTCCAAAGTTTTGGGGGAGGATTTATCTATTTTTAATGTGGTACTGAAGAACAAATGTAGGGTCTTAGGTATGCTAGGCAAGTGCTCTACCACTGAACTATACCCCCTGCCCCCAGCCCTGGGTTGGAATTATTTAAGTGTATGTTTACAAATTATACTTGTAATAAAGACTAGTTTGAAGTTCTTTTTTGAGATTTAAAATAGTTTTAAATACATAGTAGTAATATTGATGGAAAAAACAGCGGTCAATGACAATAGACCCAAATAACTAATAAATTTTGGAGAATTTATATTTATAATATCACAAGGGATATTGAATCAGATTGGCTATAATCTTGGAAAATATTAAGGAAAGAGATGAAATTCAATTGTCAGCAACTTAGGGGAAAAAGAATGGCTCTTTCATTTTAAGTGTATTATCTAAAGAATGTTCAGAAATAGAAAGGAATGAGATGATCAGATCAAGAGGTAAATGTATACCTTAGAGTAAGAAGTAAGAGGCCAGAAAGGGCTTAGGATACTTAGGAGAAGGTAAGATTCTTCAGTTTACTATATTAGCATTTTTTAGTGAAATGTTTATCTTGAGCCTTATCCATAAAGCAGTGATTCATACATTTTGGACATTTCTTATCTTTTCACCAAAGATCACAAACTTAAATGACTACAGGGACCACATAGATATTGTAAAGGAATGACAGTCAAAGTTTAGGGTTTAGTAAAGAATGCACACACCATGTAAGGATAACATGATTGCTTTCATGCGAGATTGGGGTTCCTGGACTGCTAGATGTGAATTTTCAAGAAAAGTCAAAATTCACAGGTTTATCTGATGCTTCCTGTTGGAACTAGTTCAGTTTAAACAAACAAAAGCCACCACAGGTGAACTAATAAAGCTGGCAAATGAGTTGTATTTAGCCCATGATTTGCCTGTTTTCAATCCCTGCTCTATACTATTAATGTAGAAATACAAGTTTTTCTTTAAAATGAACTTACCATAAAATATGCAAGATTAACAACCCTTTTCTTTACCGCTTAGGATGGTGCGTCCAAGGTTAACCATTTACGTCTGTCAGGAATCATTACAGTTGAGGGAACAGCAGCAGCAACAGCAGCAGCAACCACAACAGAAGCATGAGGATGGAGACTCAAATGGTACTTTCTTCGGTAGGTTGTTCTGGGCAGACCAGGATAGATGAAGAAAGGTGAAGAGATGATTTATGACCATGTTGGTAATTGCTCACATTTATTGAGCTCCTAACATATGTCAGGTACTATTCCCAACACTTTTTACACACTTTAATTTTTACAACTAATAATCTCCTCTTTGTTGTGAATTTTATTATCTCCAACATTTAAATGAGGAAAATAAGGCCTAGGAATATTAAATAACTTGCCCTAAGTCACACAGCTAGCAAGTACCAGCTACAATTGATTTGTGAGTCCTTCTGAAAAGTGAGCATTCTTAATGATTAGATTACCTGCAAAATCAGAGAACCTTTGTATTGACTACTGTTGCTATTTCTCCTTTGCAGTATACCATGCCATCTATCTAGAAGAACTGACAGCTGTTGAATTGACAGAAAAAATTGCTCAGCTTTTCAGCATTTCTCCTCGACAGATCAGCCAGATTTATAAGCAGGGGCCAACAGGAATCCATGTGCTCATCAGTGATGAGGTAGGTTTTTTAGTACAGTTGAATTTCGTACAGATGATAATTAGTTTGTCAGGGCACCATGTAACAATAGCAAGATTAGTTCCACTGGAGAGGAGTTCGGTTTTTCTAGACAGGAGTTTTCTAAACTTTCTTTTTTATTTAAATTTTTTTAATTGTTCTTTTTAGTTATACATGACAGTAGAATGTATTTTGACATACTATACATACATGGAGCATAACTTCCCATTCTTATGGTTGTAAATAATGTGGAATTACACTGGTCAGGTATTCATATATGAACATAGGAAAGTTTATGTTCAATTCATTCTACTGTCTTTCCTGTTCCCAAACTTCCTCCCTTCCTTTCATTCCCCTTTGTCTAATCCAATGAACTTCTATTCTCTGCCCCCCATCCCCAATTGTGTGTTAGTATGCATGTCCGAGAAAACATTCAGCCTTTGGTGTTTTGGGATTGGCTTATTTCACTGAGCATGATAATTTCCAGTTCCATTCATTTGCCTGCAAATGCCATAATTCTATTCTTATTCTTTTTTTTTTGCAGATGGACAGCATGACTTTATTTTATTTATTTATTTTTATGTGGTGCTAAGGATTGAACCCAGTGCCTCACATGTGCTAGGCAAACACTTTGCCACTGAGCTACAGCCCCAACCCCAATTCCATTCTTCTTTATGGCTGAGTAATATTCCATTGTGTATATATACCACATTTCTTTTTTCTTTTTTTTTTTTTTAAAGAGAGAGTGAGAGAGGAGAGAGAGAGAGAGAGAGAGAGAGAGAGAGAGAGAGAGAGAGAGAATTTTTAATATTTATTTTTTAGTTCTCGGTGGACACAACATCTTTGTTGGTATGTGGTGCTGAGGATCGAACCCGGGCCGCACGCTTGCCAGGCGAGCGCGCTACCGCTTGAGCCACATCCCCAGCCTATACCACATTTCTTTATCCATTCATCTGTTGAAAKGCTCCTAGATTGGTTCCATAGCTTATCTATTATGAATTGAACTGCTGTGAACATTGATGTGACTACATCACTATAGTATGCTGATTTTGAATCCTTTGGGTATATATTGAGGAGTGGGATAATGGGTCAAGTGGTATTTCTATTCCAAGTTTTCCGAGGAATCTCCATACTGCTTTCCAAAATGGTTGCACCAATTTGCAGTCCCACCAGCAATGTATGAGTGTAATTGTTCCCCCACATCCTTGCCAACATTTATCATTACTTATATTCTTTTTTAAATATTTTTTTTAGTTGTAGATAGACAMAATGCCTTTATTTATTTATTTACCTATCGGTCTGTTTATTTATTTATTTATGTGGTGTTGAGGATCGGACCCAGTGCCTCACATGTGCTTGGCAAGCATTCTACCACTAAGCCACAATCCCAACCCCTATCATTCCTTATAGTCTTGATAATTGCCATTCTGACTAGAGTGAGATGAAATCTCAGTGTAGTTTCAATTTGCATTTCTCTTATTGCTAGAGATGTTGAACATTTTTTCATATATTTATTGCTTGATTATATTTCTTCTGTGAAGTATGTGTTCAGTTCCTTTGCCCATTTATTGATTGGGTTATATGTTTTTGTGGTGGTAAGTTTTTTGAGTTCTTTATATATTTTGGAGATTAATGCTCTGAGGTGGCAAAGATTTTCTCCCATTCCTAAGGCTTTCTGCTCATGTTCTTGATTGTCTCCTTAGCTGTGAAGAATTTTTTTATATATACCATCCCATTTATTGTTTCTTGATTTTACTTCTTGTGCTTTAGGAGTCTTATTGAGGAATTCAGTTCCTAAGCCAACATGGAGTTTGGGGGCCTACTTTTTCCTCCTAGTAGATGTAGGGTCTCTAGTCTAACACCTTGGTCCTTGTTCTACTTTGAGTTGAGTTTTGTGCAGGGTGAGAGATGGGGTTTAATTTCATTTTGCTACATATGGATTTCCAGTTTACCAGCACCATGTGTTGAAGGGGCTATCTTTTCTCCCAGGTATGTTTATGGTGCCTTTGTCTAGTATGAGATAACTGTATTTATGTGGGTTTGTCTTTGTGTYTTCTATTCTGTGACATTGGTTTTCATGTCTGTTTTGGTGCCAATATCATGTCGTTTTTGTTACTATAGCTCTGTAATAAAATTTAAGGTCTGATATTGGGATGCCTCCTGCTTTAACTTTTCTTGCTGAGCATTGCTTTGGCAATTCTGGGGCTCTTATTTTTCCAAATGAATTTCATGATTGCTTTTTCTATTTCTAGAAAGAATGTCATTGGCATTTTACTAGGAATTGCATTAAATCTGTATAGCATTTTTGGCAGTGTGGCCATTTTGACAATGTTAATTCTGCCTATCCAAGAACAGGGGAGCTCTTTCCATCTTCCAAGGTCGTCTTCAATTTCTTTCTTTAGTATTTTATAGTTTTCATTGTAGAGGTTGTTCACCTCTTTTGTTAGATTGATGCCCAAATATTTCATTTTTTTCAAGGCTATTATGAATGGGATAGTTTTCCTAATTTTTCTTTCAATTGATTTATTATTGATGTATAGGAACACAATTGATTTATGGGTGTTAATTTATATCCTGCTACTTTGCTGAATTCATTTATGAGTTCTAAAAGATTTTTTTTTTTAGTACTGGGGATTGAACTCAGGGGCACTTGACCACTGAGTCATATCCCAAACCCTGTTTTGTATTTTATTTAGAGACAGGGTCTCACTGAGTTGCTTAGTGCCTCACTTTTACTGAAGCTGGCTTTGAACTTGTGATCTTCTTGTYTCAGCCTCCTGAACTGCTGGGATTACAGGCGTATGCCACCATGCCAGGCTGATTTCTAAAAGTTTTTTGGGTCTTCTAAATATAGAATCATGTCCTCAGCAAATAAGGATAGTTTGAGTTCTTCTTTTCCTGTTCTTATCCCTTAAACTTCTTTCTTCTGTCTAATTGCTCTGGATGGAATTTCAAGGACTATGTTGAATAGAAGTGGTAAAAGGGGCATCCTTGTCTTGCTCTGGTTTATACAGGGAATGCTTTCAATTTTTCTGTATAGAATGATGTTGGCTTTGGTTTTACAATGTTGAGGTATGTTCCTACTATGCCTGGTTTTCTAGTGTTTTGAACATGAATGGATGCTGTATTTTGTCAAATGCTTTTTCTGCTTCTATTGAGATAATCATATTTTTTTTTAGTTGTTGATGTACCTTTAATTAATTAATTAATTAATTAATGTACTTATTTATATGCAGTGTTGAGAATTGAACCCAGTGTCACACATGCTAGGCAAATGCTCTACCATTGAGCTACAACTCCAGCCCAATCATGTGATTCTTTTCTTTAAGTCTATTGGTGTGATGAATTATATTTATTGATTTCTGTATGTTGAACCAACTTTGCATCCCTGGAATGAACTCCATTTGATCATGGTGCACTGCCTAGTATGTTTTTGTATGTGACTTTCCAGTTTTTTATTAAGAATTTTTGTATCTATGTTCATCAGGGATATTGGTCTGAAGTTTTCTTTCYTCAATGTGTCTTCGTCTGGTTTTGGTATCAGGGTGATACTATCTTCATAGAATGAGTTTGGAAGAGTTCCTCCTTTTCTATTTCATGGAATAATTTGAAGAGGATTGGTGTTAGTTTTTCTTTGAAGGTCTGGTAGAACTTGGCTGAGAATCTGTCTGGTCCTGGGCTTTTCTTTGTTGGTAGGCTTTTGATGGTGTCTTCAATTTCCTTGCTTAAAATTGATCTGTTTAAATTTTCTATGTCCTCCTGATTCCATTTGGGTAGTTTAAATGTCTCTAGAAATTTGTCATTGTCTTCTAGATTTTCTATTTTATTAGAGTCTAAATTTTCAAAATAGCTTCTAATTATTGTCTGTTTTTCAGTAGTGTCTGTTGTTATATTTTCTTTTTCACCACAAATTTTAGTAATGTAAGTTTTGGCCATGAACTCCTGAGCTCAAGTAATCCTCCTACCTCAGCCTCCACTATGTCTGTGGCTAAGACTGTTTTTGCTTTCTTCCTTACTTCCTAACATAATTTCTTTTCTTTTCTTTTTTTTTTTTTGGTACTGTGAATTGAACCCAGGGATGCTTTACCACTGAGCTACATCCCCAACCTTCTTTTAATATTTTTATTTTCAGACAGAGTCTCAAAAGTTGCCAAGGCTGATATCAAGTTCGTAACCATCCTGTCTCAACCTCTCAAGTCACTAGGATTACAAACATGCCCCACCAAACTCAGCCTAATTTAAAAATTTTAAAATAGTTGTAAAAGATTTACCATTTGGGAGAAAAGAAGTTGTAAAAGATGTCATTCCTAGGCACATCATGATATTTAAGAATGAAATGGTTAGCCAGGTGTGGGTGCATGCCTATAATCCCAGAGACTCAGGGAAGATTGCAGGTTCAAAGACAGCCTCAGCAACATAGTAAGACCCTGTCTCAAAATAAAAAATAAAAGGGCTGGGGCAGGAAGCTGGGGCTGTAGCTGATTGGTAGAGCACTTGCCTAGCATGGGTGAGGCACTGGGTTCGATCCTCAGCACCACATAAAAAATAAATAGTCATAAAAATATATTTTTTTAAAGGGGAGGGGGCTAAGGATGTGGCTCAGTGGGTAAGCACCCCTGGTGTTCAATCCCTGCTATCCCCCAAAAAAGAATGAAATGGTTTCATTACTATTCTAATTGCATTCCATGTAATTTAAGTACAACAGTGATCCACCTCCCCCCCCATACGGAGGATCAGAATTATAAGAGTGATTAAATAYAGACACCAACCATTTAAAAAAATACATAACCATGATTTTCTTTATGAGTTAGAATTTTTATATTATTCCTATGTTTCCTTTAACCCATATTTCCATTTGCCTCTCCCATAGACTTCATTTTTACTTTTTTTCCTATAATACTAGGGATTGAACCCAGGGGTGCCCCAGCCCATTTTTTAAATTGATCTGATCATCTATCTATCTATCTATCTATTGATTGGTACTGGGGATTGACCCATTTAACTACTGAGCCACGTTCTCAGTCCTTTTTTTAAAATATTATTTTTAATTGTAGATGGACCTTTATTTTATGTATTTATTTTTATGTGGTGCTGAGGATCAAACTCAATGCCTCATACGTGCAAGGCAAGTGCTCTGCCGCTGAGCCACAACCCCAGACATATTTTTATTTTTTATTTTGAGATAGGGACTCATTAAGTTGCTGAGGCTGGCTTTGAACTTGGAATCCTCCTGCCTCAGCTTCCTGAGCTGCTGGGATTACAGGCTTACAGTATTGTGCCTGCCCCCCGCCTTTTTTTTTTACTTTGAGCCAGGGTCTCTCTAATTTTCTCAGGCTGGTCTCAAATTCAGTGATCTTCCTGCCTGACCCTCTTGAGTAGCTGGGATTATAGCCACTGCACTCAACATCCCCATAGACTTGTATCTGACCATAACATTTTAATGCTTAAATGTCTTTTATTGATTATCCTGCCATATTCCTTTGAAACAAAAAAAAATTAAATATTTATTTGTTTAGTTGTAGTTGGATACAATATCTTCATTTTATTTATCTGTGTGGTACTGAGGATTGAACCCAGGGCCCTGCACATGCTAGGCGAGCGCTGTACTGCTGACCCACAGTCCCAGCTCCTGAAACAAAAATTTGTTTCAACCAAAACTAAAAAGGTTTTAGGAAATCTTTTGTTTTCATTAGAAGTTCAAAAATTATTTCTTCTGAATAGAATTATCACAATTATGTAACTTTTTAAAAATAACAAAAATATTACATGTTTAATAAGTAATTAAACATGAAAAAGTGCTAGAGATGTAACTCCATGATAGAGCACATACTTAGTGGGTTCAATCCCCAGCACCAGAAAAAGAAATAAGTTTATTATACATGCATCTATTAATGAGGTCAATGGAATAGTTCCATTCCCTACCCTCACCCTAGCACACAATTAATGTGTCTGAAGAATACTGCCTATTAATTGCTAAAATGACTCAGCATTCAGCATCAATTCTATCCTGATTTTTCCCCCTAGATATAGGTGCTGTAGAGCYTAATTTACCTAAATTAATAAAAAGGAACTGATAGAGTTTTGTTACAACCTCAACACTGGTTTTTTTTGTTATGTACTAAAAATTATATAGTGATGTTATCACAAATTATTTTGAGTCATGTATCATTTGACAATTTGAGATTAGGTCACTCTTSAATTCTAACGAAAGGAAAGAATTAGAAACCATGTGACTCATATAAGAGTGTTACCCAGTCATTAGAATTCACTTTTGTAGTTCCGCTTTGGCACCATGATGCTTTTACACCCAAGGCCAGAGCACCTTTGTAGTACTCTAGTATTCTCAGTAGTATTCTATTATTTTGTTAAAAGGGAGATGGGAATTTGAGATGGGGAAATGGGGAAGAAAAACTAAAAAGGATTTAAGAAAGTTGAAGACCTGGATGTCAGTTCTCACATAAGGGCCTATTAGTGTCTTTGTTCCCCTTGGAAAATTTGGGGGTTAACCAAGAGAAATGCATACTCCACTTTTAAGATGACTGTTCTAGATGCCTCTGTTTTATTTATTTCTTTTTTAATGTAGGTGGAAACAATACGTTTTATTTTATTTTTATGTGGTGCTGAGGATCAAACCCAGTGACTCATGCATGCCAGGCRAGCGCTCTACCACTGAGCCACAACCCCAACCCCTCTGTTTTAAAATTTCAAAATCAGACATGGGGAGGACCCCCCTAAAAACAAATAGACTCATGAAGCAGGCTTTTGAAAATTGGGAGGAAAACACTTACATGATTCTATAGAAATTCAGGTATACTCTATTTGTGACCTATAAATCCTGTCATATAAACCCCACCTTAGGAACACAGAAATAGGGTCTTTTTTTTTGTTTTTTACTTAAATCTAACATTATGAAAAGCCACATTGTCAAAATAATATAGCAAACCAAAGTTTTTAATAATCAAAAAATTTTCTTGCCTTTTTTCAGATGATACAGAACTTTCAGGAAGAAGCCTGTTTTATTCTGGACACAATGAAAGGTAATAAAAGTGTAAGAGAAATAACTTTTAGTTTCTAAGTCTTTCAAAACCTCTTTTCAGGCTGTGAGTGCAGTTCAGTGGTAGAGCACGTGCTTAGCATGCACTGGGTCCTGGGTTCAATCCCCAGAACCAAAGGAAAATAAAGCTCTTTTCATATTTGCCTTCTTTAAAGAGAAATATGGAAGAAATCATATATGCAATAAAAAAGTGTTATTATGAGAGATTGTTTCTTTGTGTGAGTTGGCCTTTTTACCATTATCAACAAAGAAAGAACACTGACCATTCTCTCTACCATTCTCTTCCATCTTTTTTTTTTTTAATTAGGAAATCTTTATTTATTTATTTTTATGTGGTACTGAGGATCGAACCCAGTGCCTCACACATGCAAAGCAGATGCTCTACCAGTGAGCCCCAGCCCCAGCCCCTATTCTCTTCCATCTGACAAATGAGGAAATCAAGGCACATTATTTTTATAATACCTATTTTTTTAAAACATTGATTTTTTAGGTGTAGATGGACATAACACAATGCCTTTATTTTTATGTGGTGCTGAGGATCAAACCCCAGTCCCACCAGTGCTAGGCGAGCACTCTACCTCTGAGCCACAATCTCAGCCCCTATAATACCTATTTATTATGGATGCTCCTTGACTTATGATAGGGTCACATCCTGATAAACCCATCCTAAGCTGAAAATGTCAAAAGTTGAAAATGCATTTAATGCACCTAACCCATCCAACCTTATAGCTTGACAACCCAGCACATTGTAGAATTCTAAGTTGTTTTCTCAGGTGATCTTGCTGCTTACCCCAAACTGTGCCTCATTGCCACTGCCCAGCATCATGATAGAGTTTCATACCACTTATTCCTAGCCCAGGAAAAGATCAAAATTCAAATTACATTTTCTACTGAATGCATATCACTTTTGCACCTTTTGTTAGCCTAAGTATCATAAATGGAATTATCATAAGTCAGGCTCCATCTGTACAAAGCATTCTATGCTAAATGATAAGTATGTTTTTGTTTTGTTTTGTTTTGTTTTGTTTTAAACCAGGGATTTAACACAGTGGTGGTGGTTAACCACTGAGCTACATCCCCAGCCAGTTTTTTATTTTAAGACAAGGTCTCACTAAATTGCTGAGGCTGGGTTTGAACTGTCCTCCTGCCTCAGCCCCCCAAGCTGTGGGATTACAGGTGTGAGTCACCATGCCCAGTTAGTATGCAGCCCTTATCTTGTGCTGGCTTTATTCCCGCTCACAAGAACCTTACCATAGTTTTTTTCTCCTACTGTTTTAAAGGTGACTAAAAATTCTCCCTTTCTCTCTCTCTTTTTTGCAGCAGAAACCAATGATAGCTATCATATTATACTGAAGTAGGAGTGGAGCATCCCATGCTCAGTGGCTGCTGCTTTCCTCACCTCTTGAAAACTGCCCTCTTGGCATGTGAATGGAAATTTGAAGGTCTGCAGGAATCTGGCTCATCTGGCTGTGTGGGGGGAATCTAGACCCTGGAGGCAGAATCCCAGCCCTCTGTGTTGGCCTAAGCTCTGTGTCACACACAGATCACTGCCCAACATGCAGTTCTGCAGAGATTTTTTTTAGTTAAACTTTTGGCCCCTGTTATTGAATATCAGTAGGAACTCCACATCATTTAGGTTATATGTAGGGCATAGGGATGATGGGAATTGTGTGATGTTTAATGGAAAGATGTTAAATTTTGTGATATGGAGTCATGTAATTTTTTTCTAATATAAAAATGAACATCTATATTCATAAGACTAGGTCCTCAATCTCTTTTGCATCAACCATATTGTCATCTCTATTTTTTGTTTTGTTTTAGGTTTTTGTTTTGTTTTGTTTTGTTGCCACAATTGGTTCCTGAAAACTTCATCAATGAGAGGAAAWACACGAAGAATTGCTTCTGGTTCACTTGTAATACTATAACTGGTAGTTGTTTTGGCCAGTTATTTATTGAGCCAGGCAGAAAATTTTCTAAATGGATTATCTTATTTACTTCCTGTATGAAGTAGGCACTACAGTGATCCCTAACTAAAGATGGGGAAATGGAGACACATAGTAGCTAAGTAGCTTGCTAAATAACAGGCAACTAGCAAGTAGTGACGCTGAAATCCAAACCTAGGCTAACTGGTATTATTTTCCATCCAGTACCACCAGTGCCACCCTTCTTTATAGCCTATGCTCACCATTGTTTCTTACCATGGCTTTTCTGAGGAACTAAGGAATTAACCACTGAAAAAGACAAACCACACCTAAATAATAATGAACAAATCAAGACCTACAAAAGATACTTTTAAAGTGACATCTGCTATCAGAATCATAATTAGAGGTAGTAAAAACTCAGGATTATCTGTAACTCCTAAAATTCATTGTTCTTGAACGACATTCTTAAACCATTTATATATGAGTTAGGCCATTACTGCTTTCACCTCTGAGTCTTCTCTTGGTATAGGAAATACTTTTACTCATGTAGTATTATTTTATATAAACTTTACAAGAAATTAATTCCTGTTGGACATGGTGACACATACCTAAGTCCACTGACTTGTGAGGCAGAGACAGGAGGTAAAAAGGGCTGTGGAGGTAGCTCAATGGTAGAGCTCTTCTGGGTTCAGTCCCCAGTATCAAAAAGAAAAAGAAGAYATTCATTCCTGTCCTATTTGCACTCTTACCATAAGTTTTTGTTCTTCCTTAAGAATGAGAGAGTGAGAGAGAGAGTGTGTATGTGTGTGTGTGTTTGTGTATGTGTGTGTGTATCATCATGGATCTTCTTTTTTCTCTTGTAGTTTTAGAAATCTCTCCACAGTTTATATTGAGGTGAACAAAGACAATGTTAAGATTCTGTATTGGATGTGTGTGTGTGTTTAAAGTATTTAACAGAGTTTTAACTTTTTTTTAACAGATATTTTTGTTTATTAAAATCAATCTGTGGGCTGGGGTTGTGGCTCAGTGGTAGAGCGCTCACCTAGCATGCACGAGGCACTGGGTTCGATCCTCAGCACCACGTGAATATAAAATAAAGATATTGTGTCCACCTAAAACTAAAAAATAAATATTAAAAAAAAAATCAACCTGCAATGCAGTGTAATTTCTTTTGGTTTGAAACAAAATGAGAATCTTGAAACCAGAAAATTAAGTCAGTGACTTTTTATTTTTAAATTTATGTTTATGTGGTGCTGAGGATCGAACCCAGGGTCTCACATGTGCTAGGCAAGGGCTCTACCACTGAGCCACAACCCCATCCCCAAGTCAGTGACTTCTTTAAAACTGACTTGGGCAACTCAACATGTTAAGCCAAAATGCTTTTTTAAAGAGTGATTACTTGATGCCCCATTTTGAGGAGAAATTTTTAGTTGTTTTGTGTTCCTATGATTGGTTCTCTGCTTCAGTGAAGTTGGCTCTCCTTTCCTTAACAGGTTACTATTGGTTATGATTTTTCCCCCCTATTTTGATGTTAGGATAGCAGGGTTGGACTAGGTGACTTTTAAGGTTCCTTCCAAATCTGTGAATCTATGATTCTTATGTATTGCAAATGATGCATAGAATTCTATTAATATATTGACTATAAATTATAATTACTAATTTTTACTTGAAGTCAGGGTTTTATTAGAACATTATTTATGAAAATGAATTTATACAGCATTGTAATTACAGATCTTTAATTTTACCAGAAAATATCTTGGGCTTTCTTTAGCTCTCCACCAACACATTTATTGTGCCAGTGTGATATAATTGGTAATAATTGGTATAGTAATAGAACATTGTAATTATTTTATTTGCTTTACAAAATTGCATATGTTCACTATTGATCCTTTTAATTAAATGTAAATTTTAAACTACCTTTTTCATTTTAAAAGTAATACACAAAATTATAAATTAAAACAATAAAGAAGGGCATAACTTTCTCCTTATCTTTTAGTTCCACACTAAAGAGGTAATCATTGCATTTCCCCCTTCCAGTATACACACACAAACACACACACATACACACACACACACACACACACACATACACATACTCTCAGAAGGGTTCATGTTGTACTAATAATCTGTAACTTCATTTTTTTATTTAACATACATTGAACATCTTTCTATATTAGAATTTATAGTTGTATTCATTTTTTAAAATAACTATTCTCTATGGATGCCATTCAGGTTAAATATATTTGAACATTCATTTTTATGAGTTTTTTTTGCACGTATCTCTAAAATATATTTCTAGAAGCAAAATTTGCTGGATTTTATCGTTTTGTGATACTAAATTTTAAAGTAAATGGTTTTGTGTTTCCATTATATTGAAGGCATATAAGAAGCAGAATGGTTGTATTTTAGACCCTTCTGAGAAGTGGAATAGCATTCTATTTGACTTACTATTGTCTATACTGTTCCCTTGAAGAACAGTAGGTTCCATGTAGGAAAATCTGTATAAAGACTTGATAATTCAATTGGGAAATAAAAGGGGGGAGGAGTTGTAGCAGGACTCTTAAGGATTATTAGTCACTAAATGAATTGTGCTATTAACTAATAGGATTTTTTGTCCAMTATTATGGCCCAATAAGAATGTTTGCCCACATAAATGATTTATTTAAGAAGTCCTTTAAAAGGAAGAGAAATTGAAATGGTCTTATTGGCTGGAAAGTGATTATAATATAACAAATAGAAATAGCTAACGACCCAAAAAGGCAAGGTCTACTTGAAAAGCAAGTGTTCTCATTCCTGGAAGTCAGTCACTTTGAGGTACTGGGTTGCTTGCAAGGGTCACAGCATAATCTCACCACTGAGCTGGAGGTACATGGGAAGTTTGGTAAGTAAGGATGGGAAATTTGTGGAATAATGGAGCCAGCCATTTTTTATTTATGTGTAATGGAAGACTGCTCTCAAAACCCTTTATATACCAAAATATTCTGAGATAGTCTTTTGTATAGGGTTGCTGCAGAGATTTGAACTGTTTTGCAAATCACCATGAAAGGCTGACTGAAACTTCATCATTCAGTCTTGAAAGTAACCTACTTAGAGTGTAAATATTTGAAGCCAGGACTGACTTCTCCCTCATTGTAACTTTTTTTCTCTGGCCAGAACCACAATTTTAGATAGTTTGGCACTGAAAGCTAAAGTAGAACCATTTTATTATTTTACTAAATCATTAGTCTGCTTCCTTGGCCATGGATGGTTCTTCTACAGGTATCCGATTTGTTATGGCCCCTACTGGTTTGTCACAAGAACTCCATCCAGTCTTAACAGGAATGGCACAAATGTCCCACATAGCTGAATCATTTATATTCTGTATCATAGAGAATAGCTCTCTGTGAAAAGAGCACTGTTTTTCACATAAATGCTCTTATTTTCTTAGTTGTGGGGTAAAGCTTTTTCTGCTAGAATATTTATTTTTAGTTTATGATTACATTTTTCCTTCATTATACTAATTCCAAGACTCAAATGAGGAAGAATATACTACCACTGCAAAATGGAATGATCTGGGAAAGATGTCCTATGTGATATGACAGTAATGCTACCAGCAACTGCTTTTATTCTGTGGATTCCTTGCTTCTTTCAATGACCTTGTATTTTACCTTCAACCTTGAACCACTTCCTTAATCTTTCTACATCTTCCCTCTTTATTTTCACATTTCTTTTATGTTGTTCCTTATGAACACAGGCCTATTCTAAAATGTTACCTGAGAAACTGCAAGTAAGACAAGCATTTGCATTCTCAAATTCAAAAATTTAAAAGTTGTATATAATTTTTTTTCAATGACTAATTTCAATTATAAGGAAACTTGCTTTTTAAAATAATACTATCATATTGTAATTATATTATTTTGTACTGAGTGTGATCTTTTGGGACATGAATAATAACTAGTTTATTAAAATGAGGAACATATACCTCATCTTAAAAAAAAAACTAAGTTTTTTAGGTTTTTTTTTTCCTTAGTTTTTTTTTTAAGATATATGTTCCTCATTTTAATCACTGCAGATTCCTGTTTTATTTTTTTTCTGTCTAATTTTCCATTTAAAGGATTAGTTAATATCTTTCCCTAGACATCTTTATAATCTTGCTTCAGATTTTCATTCACTTACTTGAATTTATTAAGCTTACTCTCTAGTGCTAGGGTTGTAGTTCAGTGGTAGAGTACTTGCCTAGTATGCATAAGGCCCTGGATTCAATCCTTAGCACTACAAAAAAAAAAAAAAAAAAAAGAAGAAGAAGAAATGAGATAATAATTCATACAGTAGGGGTTTAATAATAGGGGTTGTTCAGAGATTCAAATGGAAAATGAGTATAAAACAATTTTATTTTGTACTTTATGTATCTATTTAGTTGCTCAGTAAACTAAAGATACTCCTGAGTATAAGATCGCCTTCCTATGTAGATATAACTGCAAGATGGATATATAAATACTGCCCAGAACACGAAATCTGACTTTGGGGATTTTATCCACAGCTGCTGTTTTTTATTCATTCATTCATTCATTCATTCATTTGCTGTACTGGGGATTGAACCCAGCTGTGTTCTACCACTAAGTTACATTCCCAGCTCTTTTTATTTTTTATCTTGAGACAGGGTTAGTTGCTTAGTTGCTCAGGCTGGCTTAGAACTTTCGATCCTCCTGCCTCAGCCTCCTGAGTAGCTGTTAATTACAGGCATGCATTACCTTGCCTGGGTTTTATGGCTTCTGTTTGCAGTGCTTGTTTTTGGTCTTATGTCTTTTGATTTTTTTTTTAACCCCTAAAACAAACTAGCTATTAGTAATTTGTGTGCATTCCCAGCTGTCCATACATAAGCTCCAGCATGGTCTGGACAAAGCAGTAATATTTAGAATGGCACATCCAGTGTTATTCTTAACATAATAATATTAGCATTTTTCTCACTTTTCTTTGTAATTCTATTTCAAAGACATAGAAATTCTTTTCCTATTCTTATGCACTTGAGCTTCCTTAGCAGCTGCCATCAGACCTTTGCCTTCCAAAGGCCCTGCTTACTGGAGCAGTAATTATGCAGTTATTATGGGTTAACTGGCACAACTGTAGTAACTTAACCTAGTGATTGTATCATAAGGGCTAAATAGAGTGAATAAGTAACTTCATGATGAGTAGTTGTGATATTTGCTAGAAGTCCAGATGATCTTTTAACCCATCTAGAGCTTCTTGCAAAATTGAATTCTGCTATTTTTTCAAAGAATGTGCTACTCATGATTTGACTATCTTCTAGTTTTTTGTTTTGTTTTTCTTTCTTTCTTTTAGGTGGACACAATATCTTTATTTTTATGTGGTGCTGAGGATCGAACCCAGTTCCTCACACATGCCAGGCAAGCGCTCTACCACTGAGCACAACCCCAGCCCCTCTTTCTTTTTGTACTAGGGATTGAACCCAGGGGCACTTAACCACTGAGCCAGATCCCCAGCCCTTTTTATTTTTAACTTGAGATGGGGTCTCGATGAGTTGCTTAGGACCTAAGTTGCTGAGGCTGGCTTAGAACCTGCAATCCTTTCTCAGCCTCCTGAGCCACTAACATAACAGGCTTGCACCACCATGCCTGGCCTCTTGTTTTTATAGTACTGGGATTGAACCTAGGGCCTTCTGCTTACTAAGCAAGAGTACTACCATTGAGCTACCTTTTTAAAAATTTTTGTTTTGAGACGGGATCTCACTAAATTAGCCAGGCTGGCTTTGAACTTGTGATCCACCTGCCTCAGCCTCCTCAGTAATGGTATTACAGGCATTTTCCACTGCACCCAGCCTTTGCTACTTTCTAGTTTGATGGCATTAATCAATAAACCTGGACATTGGGGTTGACAAATTTCTATGACTGTTGGAACTCTGGATGTGTAGGCCTATGAGATACCTTTTTAGCCTGCTCAACATCCCCTTTAGGCTGTTTTTTTTGTTTGTTTGTTTTGTTTTGTTTTTGGTTACTTAGCCCACTGATTCACATAATGATCTGGGGCCTTTTCTTTTTTGTCTTTGCCCAGAAAGAGTAGATAACTTATAATTTAAAATAATATTTACATAGCACTGAGTGTGTTGTAAACATTTAGTAATATAGTAACTGTTCAACCTTCCTAAAATCCTGTGAGATATATACTGTTATCCCCATTTTTCAGATGAAGAAGCTAAGGCACAGAAGTTATATAATTTGCCCAGGGTCACACCACACAGGTGAGAGGAGGAATAGGAGCAGTCTGGCTCTAGGATCCATGCTCTTGATCACATGTCATTCATTCTAAATTCCAACAGGTAGATGATTAGTGCCTGGTACCTCCCAAATTGACTTTTTTTTTTTTTATAATGATAACCTGTTGTTTTTTCATTTTGCATTATGGTGTCCTAGGTGCTTAAAGTTTCTGACGTTCCCTAAGGGAGAAATCTGGAAAATAGTTGGCAATTTTCTAAGCCATTCATCCTCTCAATTCTAAAGGTGAGATGKCTTGATAGCCAGTAGATTTGGCTTCCTAATTTCTTGGTTGCAGTGAAAAATACACTAGCATTTGGAACTAGCCTAACTTGAGTTAAAATCCTGCTATTCACCAGCACAGTGACCCACACCTGTAATCCCAGAGACTCAGGAGGATTACACTTAAAGGCCAGCCCTGGCAATTTAGGGAGACCCTGCCTCAAAATTAAAATAATTTAAAAAGACTGGGTAGAGTGCCCCTGGGTTAAATCCTAGTAACCGCCCCCCCCCCAAAAAAAGTCCCTCCAATAAATATCTACTGTGCTTCCAAATGTCAAATATCAGGTTTTGTGCTAAGAATACAGTGACTCATGGAATTCAGTCAAGTGAAAGAAGACTGAAAAACAATAAATATGTCAGATGGTAATGCTTGGAGAAATGTATGGCAAAAGGATAGAGACTAAGGAGAAGCACTTCTAGGAATATGGCTAAGGAAACTCTGATATGTGGACATTTGAACAGATACTAAGTGAAGGAGTAAGCTTATGGTCAGCTGGTGGAAAAGGTTCTAGACAAAAGGTCCTGAGATAAGAAAAGCATAATTGCCCAAGGATACYAGTGGACTGTTATTGTATTGAAGCAAAGTATGGGACAGTGAAAGTAGAAGGAAACTGGATGACAGATTGGGGGTGGAGCACAACAGTATGATGGATTAAGGATGGAGCACTACAGGATGTATCTAGATCCAGCAAAGCCTTACAAGTCAAGGGAGAAACGAGATTTAGGGGAGGGGGGGGGAAGCTCTGTGTCCTTGGCAAGTCTCAAGTTACTTTGGATTTCTTAGTCTTTGTTTTCCCCATCCTAAAGATGGGTTGCAAAGTTGTGAATGTCAAAGACAATGGTAAAATTTTTTTGAAAGAAAACACCTAAATCAGCCCATCATATATGTAGATAACTCAAAATAATGCTTGTATTTTCTTCTAACTTGGGCGGGCTGCAGCAAGTTATATTGCTGAAGACTAAGACCCATGAGTGAGTTCCTTAGGCATGGGAGTGTGGTACTGGATAAAGAGAAAAGGGAGAATTCGTTTAGTCATTGAAGATGTATAGCTGAGGGGGCTCCTGCCTTCCGTTTCAAAAGACTGCAGCGGCACCAAACCCGCCTTCCCAGGGTCAGCAGCGGACGTCGTCTCCGTAGTCTGTTAGCCGGCCGGCTTCTGGTTTGCGGCACTCGCCGCCTCCGACTCCCAGCATGCAGCTGGGCATGGAGCCGGTACGTAGACTCCATTTCCCAGCCTGCCTCGGGGCTCGGCTAGGACGTGCCGGCGCCTATAAGAGCCGGAGCGCTGCGGCCGGAGCCTATTGTTAGCCGGAGCCGGGGCGGTTCTGTGCTTCTGCTGCCAGGGGCGCCTGAGTTGCCGGAGCCGCCCGCCCCCCGCCGCCTGCCTGCCGGCCGGCCGGCCTGCCCACCCGCCCTCCCTCCCCGCCCTGCCGCCCTGGGAGCTCCCCGACCGTCGCCGCGGGGCCCGGGACTCGCTCACTCCTCCCTCCTTCCCACCCGGGCTAGGGCGGCGGCGGCGGCAGCGGGGGCGGCAGAGACCATCACGGGAGGAGGCAGCTGCGGCGGGGCTGGTAATGGGCCTGGGGGTGCGGGGCGGAGGGTGCCGCCTCGTCCTTTTTTGGGATCGGCCCTCGGGCGGCTGTGGAGGAGTGGTCAAACCCAGAGCCGTGCGGATGGAGGGGTCAGAAATGAGGGAAGCTCGGACGGGAGCGGTCGGGGGGCGGGGAGCTGGGGCGCCGCTGGGAAGGAACGGAGTAGGGGAGAGGCGTGGGAGCGAGGGGCACCGAGGATGCGGGCCCGGACTGCGGGGGTAGCTCGAGGGAGACGGATGGGCGCCTTGGAAGCCGGCAGGATTGCGGATGAGGTTGAGTTCGGAAAGGAGTGGAGAATGATGTAGGATGGAGGGAAGTGGCGGGGGGGGGGGGGGGGGGGGGGGAGGGGGGGGGGGGGGGGGGTAGAGGAAAATGTGGGAGGAGTGGTTGGGAATTTGTGAGTAGCAGGCAGGAAGGGATGAGGAAGGCTGAGTACGGGCTGCAAATGATTGGATTGAGCGGGAAGGTTAGCAGGAATCAGAAATGGGTCGAGAGCTGAAAGATTCCTCAGGGTTGCTTATTAAAGGGAACTGGTGACTTGACATGACCCTTAAGCCTTGGTTCCTGATATCCCCCATTTTTCTGGCGTTGTGTATGAAAATGAAAGCATCATTTACCCTGGTTGCTAGCTTGATCTTTTTTTTTTTTTTACAGGCCCAAACACGCAGCCGACTGCCATCCATCCCTTTTAGTCTTGATTCAGCCTTTTAAAGGGGTTTAGAGTGGCAATGTGACACACAAACCATTCTTCATTATGAAAGGTTAGAAGTTATCCCCAAGAGACAACACTGTACCCTTGTCCTGCAGTTTTCAGTTCATGGTAAATCCGTAGTTAATTCAGATTTTCCTTTTCTTTACTGGCTTTCCATCTTGCAAATCTCCAAAGCCAGGATGTTGGTGTGTGCCAGAGTTATAAATGACGGGATATCCTTGAGAGCTAATGCAGCATCATGTTCCATTTCTACCACAAAGATCTTGTGTCCTCCCTGTGATGGTAGTTCAGACATGGAAAGTTCAGTTCTAACCTTGTGTTAGTGAATGGGTAAAAACCCGAGTGAGTATGGGAAGGGAGCTTTCTCTAAACACCTTGTTTAAACAGGAGGTTTTTACTTGAGTGCTTTTTTAAATTTGTGAACCTGGTGATCACAAGGACACATGGATTCATGAAATTCATAGTATTTGAGAATCAATCACAGTATCTCATAAAAGGGGGAGCATGGCAGATACTATCTCAGTCAAGTTTATCCTGACACTTTAGCAGTAAGCTTTACTTCCTTTAACTCAGTTATGGGTAGCCCATAGGATCTTACTACAGATTTTGGTCTCTTGACCTTTAGCAGAAGATTGGGTTCCAGTTGAGTGGGGAGACTTCTTCTGAAAGATATACCCTGTTTTATTATTTTGGATTCATTTAAGAAAGAGGCTGATATTACCTAAACTTTGCATATATATTCTTCCACAAAACTTTTTACTGGGTTGACCCTCTTGCTAGTTTCACATATGCAGGGACTTTGGGTTWGTTTTGGTGCTTATAGGACACCTTATGGGCCTGAAAAAACTTAGATCTTAGTACTGAAATACATCTTCTGGTTTTATTTGGTGCCAGTCTAAAGTCTTTTACATACTGTAAATCTGAACAATTTCATATTCCTTTTGGAAATGTTCATCTACCAACACTTGAGAAAAGACCATAAGGCATATAGCCAAAAAGTGTCAGCTGACCTTCATTTCACCGGCATTTAAAAGCTTTTATAGAGGGATACATTATTTGTCCAAAAGTATTTGTTGTTTGAGTTGGTCATTTTGACAGTTAACTGTCAGTTATGACTGCATTTCCAGTCTCACCTTGATTATTTCCATATAGGTTTAAGTGCTTGGAGTATAACTTATAAGATTATCTCTTGAACACAAGCATTGATCCTCTACCAGTGGATATTTAAGAGAAGTGGGAATGACTCATTTTTAGTTCTGGTATGAAAGATTAGTTTCGTGAACGGGCAAGTATAGAACCTGTTCTAGTTGTTTCCCTTGCAAAGAAAAATCTCTTCAGGGAACATGGTTGGGAAGTTTGTTCTTGGTGCTCATGAGCATCTTTATCTGTCAGGTTCACATCAGAGAGTTGAGCAAGGAGAGTTGTGTTGAAATGTAAACTTTTATTATTAGGCCATGATAGTTGGAATTTTAAAAATTTAAATAATGAAGTTAATGACAGAAAAAGTGATGCTCATAAATCTTGGGAAAGGTGAATAGAGCTAGAACAATGCAGTCTCCTTGAGGATTTTCTGGAGTTCCATCCAAGTTGATGCAATTTTATTTGTTTTGTTGCTTGTTTTCATTTTATTGTTTTTTCTGGTGCTGGGGATTGAACATAGGGCCTCAAGCAAGCGTTCTACCACTGAACTGCATTCCCAGATCTTATTAATGGGATAGTTCGATCATGGCTCATTATTTATAMGTATAGATTGTGGTTATTCTCAGATAACTGAAGGATTCTCTTAGATTTCACATACACACATACACCTCTTTCCCCCCTCCTCTCTTTCTCTTTTCTTCTTTTCTTTCTTACCTACCTCCATCGTTACCCAGAAACCACTATTCCAGAAGTAGAAGTGGGGAAGACATAGAAAAAAAGGAGGAAGGGACTAGATAAAGCAGCTAGCAATCCTTGCTGCAYTTGAGTGTACAAAAGGTAACCCTAAGGGAAATTATACTCTAGAGGGCAACTGAGTTAAGACAGTGGAGAATTTTAGTAACAAAGATGATTTTGGACCAGACCCAAACTAGTGTGGGATTTAAAGAGAAATATTCAAAGGACACTCAAACTACTTGAAGCAAAGGTATACCTGAGGAAAAAACGGGAGTGCACATTTGCTTCTGATCATAAATCCTGAGTGTTTCCAGGCCAAGGAAAATGCCATTTTTCTCTAGTACTAGCATTAACTGGAGCTAGTTAAAACTGAAAGTGGACTTGAGCCCTTTCTGAGAAAGCAGATTTTTCAGCTCAGTCTGATATCTCATGTGGGCAATAAGGTATTTATTAAGTAGGAAAAATTAAGTTCAGTAGTCAGCATTATTATTATTTATTTTTTTACACTCACATGAGTATTCAATTATAAAGGTGTCCCCCTCATGCCCTTGTGACMAATAATAGAGTGGAATGAGAAATTTATTAGTTGTTAGGTATCTTTACATCCAGAGAAAATCTTTTTTTTTTTGGAACCTGGGATTGAATTCAGGGGCACTTAACCACTGAGCCACATCCCCAACCCCTTTGATTTTTTATTTAGAGACAGAGTCTCACTGAGTTGCTTAGGTCCTCGCTAAGTTGCTGAGGCTGGCTTTGAACTCACAATCCTCCTACCTCAGGCTCCAGAGGTTCACAATCCTCCTACCTCAGGCGTGTGCCACTGCACCTGGCCTAGCAAAAATCTTAACCCCTAAAGTCCTCAGTGTTCTCCATTCTCATCATGTCCTAAGAATGTAGACTCTGATTAGTAACCTAAAGAACAGAAGATACTTTGGGCTCACTTTTAATTACAATTCTTATGAAGTACTTAATTATTTTTTTCCTTCCTGCCCAAATTTATTTGAAAATGTGTTTGTCTGAGACCTATGACAGCTGAGGGTTTTTAGGTACATCTTATAACTTGAATTAGAGACTTTTGATATGATCTGAATAGATTAGGAAATAGAAGATATTTCCTAAAAATATATTTCCTAAAGTACTTATTAGGTCTGGTTGATTTTTTTAGAGCTGATCCAAATTACTTCCAAGAGACACAGGCCAGAAAAATAGCTCTGTACAGGCACCTTTTTCCTCCATGGTATATATTCTGGGTAGCTACTCTGCAGTAATGCAGCTTTGTCGTTCTGGGCAGTGTTGTTATTCCTGCTGCATAATTAGCAACTAGTGAGATCATAGTCTGGGGAGATTCTGGCATTACAGAGGCAAAGCAAGAGAGGCTTCTCATCACACATGGCTTTGGCTCTGACGGCATTTCTCCTGAACAAATTCATGTCCTTCTGGAACTTAAGTCCAAAGACAGATAAGGAGAAAGATTTGTACCTGGGAAGTGAACTTTAGGACTCCTTGGTTGTGTGACAGCATATTGAAAACACTGCCTGCCATATTGATGTAACCAGAATTAAAATTGTCACTTCTTTTGCTATTTGTTTTCCCCTTGCTGATTTCTTTTTAGAGGTCAAAGATTGTAAAGCTACATTCTCCTTGCACAGAGGATGATGATAGACCAGTATGAGATTATGAAAGATTCTGGTTGTTTTTGCTTTTGTTTTGTGTTGTGGTGATAGGGATTGAACTCAGAGCTTTGTGTATGATAGGCAAGCTCTCTACCACTTACCTACATCTGCAGCCCCAGATTCTGGGTTTTGAAGCCAGTACAGATTGTAATCTTGGGACCTTTAGTATTAAATTTGACCTTTTTAAAAGTTGGTGAGACAGTTTATACTTGTGAAGATCTGGGTCAAGGGTATTCATGACTGCCAGTATCCTTCAAAATTGAGAGCCTGGAGCAGTATTTCCAAAGGTGTGTTCTGAGCATTATCTGTTCCCTAACATACTTTGGAAACATTGGGTTCCATAATCAGGTTTGTGAAACACTGCATTCTGTTTACTCCCGGCCTTTGCCGTGTATATTAATATATTAAAAGCCTCTAAGAGGTTCTGCCATAAGCAGTTTTCTAAACAATTTTGACACAGTAGTGCTATTTCCATGTAAAAGCTATTAATATCCATGAAATTAATATATTTAAGATACACACTTTGAGAAGTGCCAGGCTGTTATGTTATTACTAGGAAAAATAATTGGGTCTAGTCTTGGCTTAGGCAAAGTTTAATTCCACCTCTGATCTCCAGTCCCTCCCACTGGTTCCTTGGAGAACCGCTCCTATGTGATCAGAAGAACAGTGACTGTTATCTTGGGCTAATGAAGCCTAAGCCCAGCTGGATTGGAATCAGAGGCATTCCCTCCATTGGGAAGGGTGCTGCTGCAACTCTTCTCACTATTCTAAGAGTGACTGATCCTGGAGGAGCAGATAGAAAATAAAAGTAGGYGCATACTGGCCAGAATCAGTTGAGAAATGACCTAATCTTAAGAACCAGACATTAGTGCTAGGTCAGGTACTTTCTTTCTTCAGTTAGAGAGCTGTGTATGTAGACTTAGGAGGGGTCTGTCTTAGGAATGCTGATTCCTCTTTTCCCCTGGGCAGAATCCTAATGCAGCGGGTTAGCTGGTGGTGAGCAGAAGCTTGGGGCCAACCTGGTAGGCTCCCCAAGGAAACCCTTTGAAACCAATGGATGCATTCACGGGCTCGAGTCTCAAAAGGAAGTTTGATGATGTGGATGTGGGCTCATCAGTTTCCAACTCAGATGATGAGATCTCCAGCAGTGACAGTGCTGACAGCTGTGACAGCCTCAATCCTCCTACAACTGCCAGCTTCACACGTGAGTAAGCCACTCCCTTCCTGCCTGCGCCCAAATTCCCCAAGCATAGAGCCTACTGCAGCTCTCCAGATAGCATCTGTCCAGTTTCAGGATTTGCCCTTATCACAGTTTTTCCTTGCTTTGCAGAGGACCTTGTTGCTCTGTTAGTGTAGACTGAAATCTGAATTATTCTTACAGATTTTATTTGTGTTGTGGTTTGTGGGTCCCCAGAGTAGCCTGAATTAGATCGAAGAAGTAGTTCAGGACTCTACCCTTCCCCAAGCAGAATCCCCCCAGAGGTTCAAGAAATTAAGAGCCATACCAGGATATAATACATGCTTGCTGCCTAGACAACTGGGACCCCTCCAGAGTTCTTAATTCTTATGGCTCAATTAGTTCTTGGAAAGAACTTCTGATCATCTAAATCAAGGGCCACATCTAGCCCATGGCCTGATTTTGTAAATAAAGTTTTATTGGAATACACTTATATCTGTGATTGCTTTCATGCTATGACAATAAGAGTTGAATAGTTGCAACAGATACCATGGCTTTAGAGCCTAAAATATTTACTATCTGGCCTTTTAGGGGAAAAGTCTTGCCCTCCCCCCTGCTATAGGTAAATTCTGTCCAAAAGAATTTTCTATTATGATAGAAATGTTCTATATTTGCATTGTCCCGTGGTAGCCATTAGCCACATAAGACTCATGAGCACTTGAAATGTGATTAGTGTAACTGAGGCTATGACTTTAAATTTTTTTAAATTTTAATTAACTTGAATTGCCACATGTGGTCAGTTAAGTTATAGATTGTTTTATCTTAAAAAGATCACCTRGCAGTCCTCTACCCAGCTGTTGTCTAAAAATAGATTTTTGTGGTAATCTGTTTAGGTGATGTCAGTCTAGAGGCAGTAGTATGAACCAGTGAGGTTCAAGGTCCTTTCTAACTATGCATTTATGATTTGAAAATTTTAGAAAGTTCTGTAGATGCAAGGAGCRCATTTAGAGGAGAGAAGTTAAGAGCCTAGATGAATGAGAAAGAGCAAGGTCCCAAAACAGGCCATCTCTGGGTTAATAATCTCTTTCTGTGCTCTCTTCTCAGCCACATCCATCCTGAAGCGGCAGAAGCAGCTACGGAGGAAGAATGTCCGCTTTGACCAGGTGACGGTATACTACTTTGCCAGGCGCCAGGGTTTCACCAGTGTGCCCAGCCAGGGTGGTAGCTCTCTGGGCATGGCCCAGCGCCACAACTCTGTACGCAGCTATACACTCTGTGAGTTTGCACAAGAGCAGGAGGTGAACCATCGAGAGATTCTTCGTGAGCATCTGAAGGAAGAGAAACTCCATGCCAAGAAAATGAAGGTGCCTAAGGGGTCCGGGGTCTGGTACTTCCCATATGCCAAGAAAATGTGGGAACCGATCTAGGTCTGTTGATTTTAGGATTATTGTCAAGTTTCTGTCTTTATTGGCCTGAATAGGGACATGAAATTCCATTGATWTTTTAAAATTTGATGGTTGTCCTTGTCATATAGAGATTCCAGAGCTTTCTAAAAAGAAGTCTCAATTTTTGCAATCAGATCTTTCTGAGGGGCTGGGGTTGCGGCTCAGTGGTAGAGCACTTGCCTAGCATGTGTGAGGCACTGGGTTTGATCCTCAGCGCCACATATAAATAAATAAAAAATAAAAGTACATCAACCACTAAAAAATATTTAAAAAAAAATCTGAGCCTCCCTTCTTTTTGTTTCTGGAGGTATCTTCCAGAATAGCAAAAACCCTTCTCTGGAATTCCCTTTCCTCACCCCCAACCATCCAATAAATTTTTTTTTTTTAATTTAAAATGTGCATACTTGAATGCTTTCAGGTCTGTCACCCCCTAGAACTCAAAGAGAACACAATGTTCAATTTCTTACCAAATGATTTTCCCTTGCCCAGATATGTGGGACAGATTTGGGGTCTTTTCATATTCTCTGCTCTTTCTATGACCTCATTACATTATCACATAGGTACTTAAGAGTCATATAATATTGTATCTTATCATCTGATATGCACCAGCTCTTTAGGTTAGGTGGAGAAAGGGGCTGGGAAAAGACCCATCTCAGATGGCTCTTTATAGCCCCCCATTTGCTATCTTTAGTACTGTTTTGGCACTCTATGGCTGTAGTTTTCACAGGTCTCAAAAATTTCCATGGCTGTATGTGGCTTAGGGGTAGAGCACCTGCCTACTATTCACAAGGCCCTGGGTTCAATCCCCAGCACCACAAAAGAAAATAAATTTCCCCTAGGTTTCTTTTGGGCCTAAAGCATGGTGACCCATGTTAAAATAGGTGGTTGCATTTTTCCAAGGTTGTAGACTCTCTAGAATGTGGTAGAATTGGAAACTAGTGACAGAGGATATAGGCTGACCAAATCTTATTCCTATCTCTCCTTGAAAGCTTTATGTCTGCCTCCCTCAGCCTACTCCTAAAAGCCTTACACCTGTTTTTCTAACTAGAATGACACCCAGGCGTCCCTTTCTTCTGTCTGAGGAATTCCATCACTGGCCCTATCATCTTCCTGCTACTATAGCAACAGCTGGGCAAGCAAACACTCTTCTCGTTAATTGCAGTGAAGGCGCTCTTCCTTTGCCCTAGAAGAAAACGCCTTTCTTCTAAATCTGGTAGTAGAATAATCTATCAAAGCAGGACACCATCCAATCCAGTTCTGTGCCCCATCCCCCAATAGGAATTCCAAGGACAAAGCCAGGTAAATGCAGGACTGAGATACTAGATTCCTCCTTATTAGCAGGATATTCATTTAGTGAGCACCAGCAGAAGTGGCATCTAATATGTCTTTAAATGTCCAAAGAAAAATCCTTGCTTGACCTTTCTCAGGTCTAGTTTACTTTTTTCTTAGAAAGTTTTCCTGTCTTTAGCATCCTATAAGGGATGCAGTTGGTCTCAAAAATATATTTGCCATTTAATATTTGTTTTCCTTTTCAGCTGTTTTTCCTGTCACTCTTTGGAGCTCTGCAGCTTTAGTTACCTACAATTTTTCTAATATTTTAGTTTGTATTTTGTTATGTCCATATGGAATTCATTATCATGAATGGTATGATCGGGAATATAGCCCTTCTTTCCCAAAGAATATTCAGGTGTCCCAATATCGCTTAATAACTAGAAGACTCTTCACTGATTTGAAATGCCACTTCTGTCGGAATAAACTTTCCTATCTACATTCTACATGGGTTTCTTTCTCTGCATCTCTAATCTCTTTCCTTTGAGAGGATAGTAGAAGGGAAGCCCACACGGGTGATCCAGAAAAAAGCAATCCTAATGTCTATAGAAGGGCACCTTGTAGTTGCCTGTCTGGTTCAGAAATAAGGCTGGGAATTCCAAGATCCTGCACTTTACTTTCCTCATTCCTGACAACTTCCCCTTTCCCCCAAACAAGCAAGCAAACTGAGTGTGTAGCTTACTGCTCAGGTTTGTTGCATCACATCTCTCCCAGGAGCTGATACTTTCCCAGCGCTCTCTCTGGTTGTCTGATGAAATAAACCAAAGACTCCAGTCACTCAGCTTTCATTCTGCCAGCAGCTTCCAGAGCCCCAGGAACTGTGGGGCCTCATTTTCTTTACTTGGATTCTCTAGTGAGTTTGCAGAACTCATTCAGCCACAGATTGTCTTCAATCTGTCCTTCCACAGATTCCATTTCCTGGCTTCTATCCTCTTAGCCCAGAAAACTCAGATTTCTGCCCTTAGATAGCACACTTGGTTTTATTTATACCACCCTACCTGACATGGAATTCTTCTTTGAAGTCAAATAAAAAAGGATTAGAAAGGAAAAAGAATACATTTCTTTTACACCCTGGGCTGGGAGGGCTTTCTTTGACTGCTGTTGATAATTTGCTCATTTTCCACCAATAAAATGAAGCTTTTTTGAGCATGCACAAATAATGGTTCATGCTGTGAGGATTCAGGTTCATTGGCAAACACCTTTTAGCTGCTATTACACTTTAATACTTTAAGGAACCCTTTTCCTATGAAGGTGGTCTTAGGTTCTATGAGGTGTACATTGAAGGGTGTTTTACAAGGTTATTTGTTAATCTCAGGAATAACCAGCTATTGATATACCTTTTTCCCCATGTCAAAAGGAAAATAGGCTGAGCTGGAAGTGGTGACACACACCACTAATCCCAGAGACTCAGGAGGCTGAGGCAGGAAGATTGGAAACTCAAGGCTAGCCTCAGCAACTTAGCAATACCCTGTCTCAAAATAAAAAATAAAAAGGACTGGGGATAGAGCTCAGTGGTAACACCTCTGGCTTTAATTCCCCATACCAAAAAAAAAAAAAAGCAAGTGAGCTGAATTATGGAAATAAAGGGAATGTTTCTGGGAATAAATTTTCTTCTAGGAGGGAGGATGAGACAGTGGTTTTCTGAGAAGCTTGAACCCAGAAAGATGATGTCCCTTTTGTTGACAGGGTGATATTAGAGCCACAAAAGATTTCCTGCCTTTCTGCTCTGGTTTTATTCTCTTGTCCTTTGCTTTTCAATATGGTGCCTACTAGCCACATGTGGCTATTTAAATTTAAAATYAACTGAAATTAAAAACTTGATTTGTCAGTTGCCACTTTTCTAGTGCTCAGAGCCACCTGTAGAGTGACTGCTGTGTGGAATAACACAGATCTTCCCCCAGTGCAGAAATTCAGGGGAACACTGCTATCCTGATTACTGTGAGGAGGCTTATGTTGCTAATACTTCAGAGGCTAACCTTTCCTGTCTCTTGCAGYTGACCAAGAATGGGACCGTGGAGTCGGTAGAGGCTGATGGCTTGACACTGGATGATGTTTCAGATGAAGACATTGATGTGGAAAATGTGGAGGTGGATGATTACTTCTTCCTGCAGCCTCTTCCCACCAAAAGGCGACGGGCCCTGCTTAGGGCTTCTGGGGTTCACCGCATTGATGCTGARGAGAAGCAAGAACTTCGAGCCATCCGCCTATCTCGGGAAGAATGTGGTTGTGACTGTCGACTATATTGTGACCCAGAAGCATGTGCCTGTAGCCAGGCTGGGATTAAATGCCAGGTCAGTCAAAGTTTGCCTGAGATAGTGCATCTATCAAGGTCATGGGGTATGGTGTGGGTACCAGGGAAGATGGGTGGCTGCCCATCCAGGGATGGAAGCCCCTAGCTGTGAACACACTCCAAGTCCACAACCCTCCTCCACCAACAAAGGAAACAAGCATGACAGGATTCTTAGGCTGTGGAGGTATCTATTATCTTTGTGTTTCATACCTCAGAGGTGATAAAAAGCAGCTGTTAGCAAAGGAAAGAACAGAGGTTAGTATGGTTACCATTTAATAACTGTTCCTGACTGATTCCTTGAGATAAAAGGAAGCAGAGAAATGAGATGGGCCTAGAGATGCTATCTGCAAACACTTGTAGAACCTCTACTCCAATTTTATAAAAACCAAAATGGCTTTGAGATCCTTTAATTCAGGATCAAGCCTAGGCTGGTAGAGCTTAAATCCTTAGTTTTCTGTAAGAAAGTAACATCAGCCAGGCTGGGGTTGTGGCTTAGTGGTAGAGCACTTGCCTAGCACGTGCAAGGGCCGGGTTCGATCCTCAGCACTGCATAAAAATAAAATAAAGGTATTGTGTCCAACTACAACTAAAACAAAAAAAAAAAATTTTAAAAAGTAACATCAGCTAAGTGACAAGGAACAGTTGCAAAGATATATTTCAATGGAAAAATAGCAGAAATAGCCCAGAGAAAAAAATTTGTCTGGAAGTTGTATTCTGAGCATATGGATGCTGAGTGGTTTTGGTTGTGTTTTCCCAACCAACCTTTTCTTTCTGATTTTTAACTAGGTAACAAATAGTTGTAGCAGATCTGGCCAATAAATTGTTTTTCAGACTAAAGTCCCATAATGAATCAGTCTGTTACACACCTAATGACAGACCTGGTATGCAGATTTCTTTAAGTTGATACCATTAGGAAGACATTGAATATTTGTTTATTCATGTTTCTAGTTTTATTTTTTTGGCAATTTTTTGTCTTTGTTTTTTCTTTTTGGATATGAAGGAAAAATTTGGAAATAGAAAGCATCTCTTTTCCAGATAGCCCTGGTCTGTAAGTAAATTATCTTGGTTAATGCTTCAGAACTAAACTGGTCAATCCCCAGGAAAAATGAGTGAAATGATAATAAACAGCTGGCCATTGCTTGAACCTTCATTCTAGCACCTTAGCAAACTAAGGCACCTTTGTTTAGTTTCCCAGAAGGTATTGCTTTGTTTTAGTAACATCTTCCACTCACTTTCCCATGCTTGTCATTGCAGAAGACCAGGTAAATTCTGGAAGTCCCTAGATACATAAATTTCTACTGAGAACAGTCAGCACTCGGGTATTTCTGCATTCTCTAACCAAAAGGAGCCTTTGATATGATTTTTGTCACTTTTTATTCTGAAGAGGAAACAAAGCCCTAGGGAGAAATACATGAGTCCAGGTCATACCACTAATTAATAACTGAGCTGGAATGCAAGCACAAGTGGTCTGGTAACCGCCATCTAGTGCTGTCAGCTTGTGCTGCAGGTTTTGAATTGCTTGCTTCTCGTAGGAAGACCTCAAATCCCAACTGCCTGTGTTTGCCAGCTAATGTCTCCTATCTTCACTGTTAGAGTCTTGCCTCACCCTCCTTGTGTCCCCCTCAGGTGGATCGCATGTCCTTTCCGTGTGGCTGCTCCAGGGATGGCTGTGGGAACATGGCTGGGCGCATTGAATTTAATCCAATCCGAGTYCGGACTCATTACCTCCATACCATCATGAAGCTGGAGCTAGAGAGCAAGCGGCAGGTGAGCCGCCCGGCAGCCCCAGAGGAGGAGCCCTCACCCACTGCCAGTTGCAGCCTGACAGGAGCCCAGGGCTCCGAGACACAGGACTTCCAAGAGTTCATCGCGGAGAATGAAACAGCAGTGATGCACCTGCAGAGCGCAGAGGAACTGGAGCGGCTCAAGGCCGAGGAAGACTCTAGCGGCTCCAGCGCCAGCCTGGACTCGAGCATTGAGAGCCTGGGTGTGTGCATCCTGGAGGAGCCCCTGGCTGTTCCTGAAGAGCTGTGCCCAGGTCTCTCAGCCCCCATTCTCATTCAGGCTCAGCTGCCCCCAGGCTCCTCTGTCCTGTGTTTTGCTGAGAACTCAGACCACCCGTCTGCTTCCACGGTGAACAACCCATCCTACTTGAACAGCGGGCCCCTGGTCTACTACCAGGTGGAGCAGAGGCCAGTCTTGGGAGTGAAAGGAGAGCCTGGTACAGAAGAAGGCACAGCTTCTTTCCCCAAGGAGAAGGATCTGAATGTCTTCTCTCTCCCTGTTACCTCACTGGTGGCTTGCAGCCCCGCAGACCCAGATGCCCTCTGTAAATCAGAGGTGGGGAAAACACCCACTCTAGAAGCGCTATTGCCCGAAGATTGTAACTCTGAGGAGCCTGAGAATGAAGACTTCCGCTCCTCTTGGTCCCCCTCAAGCCTCCCTTTCCACACGGACACTGAAGAAGGCTGTGGGGTGGAGAAGACCTCCCAGCAGAATGAGGACCGACCCCCTGAAGAGTCTGCCCTAGAACTCCCTCTAGCAGTGTGAAGTGGGGGTGGAGATACTGCCTCGCACCCATTCTCTATTTATTCCCTTATTTTATCTAATGCCATTTCAAAACAAAACTGTAGAAGCAGCTGCTGCTCCCATGTTATTTTATTGGGGTCGATGGGAAATGGGTGGGAAAGGATTGTTTGTACAAGTATTTTTTGAAAGGGAAACAGTACCAAGGAAACCAGCCCCAGCTTGATGTGGGGATAGGTTAGAGGAAGCTGCACAGTGCTGAACACTGAGCTTTCTGGGCCATTGGAACAAAGCCGTAGGACCTCACAGGAGGATCTGGGTAATTCAAGCAGCTATTTATGTAGGGACCAGAACACGAGACTCTGTACACAGGGCAAAAAGTCCCTGCTCTCCTGGGCTCCAGGCAGAGTGAAAGCTTATTTCTCAGTGGTTGCTCTGATACCCATTTTGGTATATCCAATCATACTATTGGAAAGGCCACCTGGTTGGATCTAGTGAGGAGAGGCAGAAAGGTCTCTGTTTCTGTACAAAACCTCCAGGATTTCTAAAAATTTACCATACCTTCCCCCGATCCCCTATTTGATAAATAAGTTAATATTTGACATGTTTGGTGTTCCCTGACCTGCTCCCCATACTGGGGATTCTTGGTCTGTAACTTGAATTGTTTCTTTCACATGTTCTTAGATACTAGAGTTAAACTTGTCTTTKTTTCCTCCATCCTTTTTCCTTTGAAGAAAAAGTGAGATTGGCTGGGGATGTGGTATAAAGAGCCTGAGGCTTCTGCCATCGTCTTAACATGAGCTCTGTTGGGCAGTTTCTGGCTGGGCTCACCCATCCCCTAGGAAGCCTATATGGAGCATTAACTATATCCAAAGGAGGCTGCAGGAACAACCTGCTGTCTGGAAAGATGACTTTATTTGTGTCATGCTTACTTTTTCACACAGGTTTTTTTCCCCCCTCTTTGGGAGATCTGAGCTTTAAATGTAATGTAAGACGTGGCAATTTAAGGTCACCGACTAGTTTTTGTTCTTTTTTTGTGTATGCACACTCATGGTCCTTCTTTGATATACAGGGTTACACAGTTCTTATACTACTCCAGTTCAACCCCAAGAATTGCAAATGTTTATTGCTGCTTGATGAGACATAAAATTGGAATCTACCAATTCTTAGATGCCACGTAGAATTTCCAGGTTCCAAAGGATTAAGATCTGATTGTAACCTTTGAAATGTATAAAATGGGACTCAAATTCAGTTCTTACCTCTGTCAATGGTTCCTGTTCCTTTTATGTTTATGTTTCAATCAAGATCTGCTCCATGATCAACACTGATTTATTTTATAGGCAAAGTGACCTTTGCCTCTGTTTTAAAATGAAAATGGTAGGGAGCAAAACACTATTCTTTAGCATCTTTAACACCATACTTCACATCTGGTATGATTTATTAACCAGTTAAAAAACACTTCTGGTGGGCAGGGAGAGTGGAGGAGATAATTATTCTTACTTATCTTGCTCATAAAGCCTTTTCTTGGGGGATAGCCAGGCCCTGGTACGTTAAAGCAGCCTTCAGGTATGTGGCAGCAGCATTTCACTTATAAAATCTAAGCCTGAGGGCCTTGTATTTATTTAATACAGATAAATATTTTAACCCATTCCGCCTTTCCTGTTCATTCCTGTTTTTGCTTGGTTTTATGTTTGGAGGGAAGGTCTTAAGTTACATAGGTCCATATCTCTCCCCATCACCCAGCCTCACAAAATAATTGAATCTTAAGTACCTTCAATCTATATGAAATAGATGCTTTTCCAAACTGAGCTGCACTCCCCGACCTTAGACTGGAACCATGCAACATAAGACTGAAACTTACTTGGGATTTTAGTTCTATGGAAAAAAATATTTTCTCAAGTTTGTTAGGAGAGGGAGAGCTCTATACACTCCCTCCGTAGGAAGCCTCCCGCTTAATTTAGGAAGTGGATTCCAACAGCTCACTAAGAAATACATTAGCCTTTGGGATCAAATGAATTTAAATTTGTTATTATTAAACTCATTGCCAATCCATAAGGTAAGATACATGATATTTCTACAAAACTCTAGTTTCTTAATCTAAGTCCATCCCTTCATTAACTCTACAATTCTGATTCATGCTGACCCCAAACTTCTGAATGCTAAATATTAACATTTAGCATTAACTGTTGTCAAGCAAAGGGCCTTTTCTACAGCCTAGTCCATCTCACTTCTGGTGCTACCCGAGTTGGACAAAATTATAGCTCATGGTTGCTAGGAGAGCTAGGCCTCTGATCATAGAAGCAGATTGCTTCAATCCCACTTAGTCTTGGCCTTGATTAAAAAAAAATGATTCTTATTAACATAATTCTTATTTTCCAGTTTCCTTTCTCACATACTGTATACAAGTAGTATTTTCAATGTGAATCCAAAGCTCGTCTGGTTCTCTGAAAACAATTTTCCCCCTTTAGGTTCTTTACATTGTGATAATGCTGTATTTAAAGAGAATATTTAAATGTAATATTAAAGAAATATTCAAAAGAATGGTGTGTTATTCTTTATCTTGGCCAGCCACAATTTAGTTACTTGTTAGAAAAAGATGCTTCTCCAGCTTTGCATATGAAACTAATTAGGTCAGTTAGGAATTAAGGTTAACAAAAGAAACACTTTGTGATAGAAATGTAGAATGTTCTCTTCAGCCTATCTTGCCTCAGGTGCTCTTACGTACCTCTTCAACTGAAGCAGGCTTTGCTTCTGCCTTGTTAGACCTTCACGCTGACTGTATTCCCATTTTCTCTTTTCCTGGTTACCACCTTAAAATATCCACCCAACGATCAACTTAAAATCAATTCCTTTAAAACTTCTGTCAGAAGGATCTATATCAACCAATTAAATCCCCATTAGTTAGGTTATGTCAGTCTTGGAAAAGGAGCCTTAGCAAAATGATTAGAGTGTGCATAAGTAATTTCCATCAACTGATTTCAGGCAGTCTTTACTTGGGTTTAAAACAGTGCTCCATGCATTTACAATAAGTTATTACAGAACTATAGGTCAAGAATGTACACACAAAAGCTAAACCCAACTTACTATCTTGATGCAGATCTTCCTGGTCTCCCAGGGCTGGGCAGTAATTAGTACCTTATGGGTTTTGACCCATGGCCCAAAGAAGGCAGCCACTGTTGGTTACAGTTGGATTGCTGCAACACAGTGGAGGTAGCAAAGAATTTAAGATCTTTATGGGCTGTATGACAGCCCAGAAATTAAGACAATGGGGGATGAAGGCTGTAAACACTAGGGAAGGGATTAGATGGTACTTCCTTTTAATCTTTTCCTTTATAATGTTCCCATAAGTTAATACTTGAAAAAAAATTTTTAAGGTATTCAAAGGATTTTAAAAGGAAAGGAAGTGGTTAGCTCATGCCAGTGAGAAAGAAAAACAAAAATCCCTCTTGGGTCATATCAGGATGGAAGAGCACATTGAAGGATATACATTTATGTAAATGCTCCAGATTAAGCAGTGTTCTTGCCAGCCAGAAATTTTTTCTTTTTTTCTTTTTCTTTCTTTCTTTTTTTTTTTGGTACCAGGGATTGAACCCAGGGGCATTTACCCACTGAGCCAAATTCCCATCCCTTTTCTTGAGATAAGTTCTTGCTAACTTGTTGAGGCTGGCCTTGAACTTGTGATCCTCCTGCCTCAGCTCCCAAGCCACGGGGAGGCACATGCCACCACACCAAGTGCCAATCAGAAATTCTTTAGAATACAACTGTAGAGAACATGGCAGTTGATGAATCTTAGGCCAAATGATTCCCACCGGGGGGGGGGGCAATAACTGACTTTATAGGACCTGACCATAACACACACAGGAAAAGACTAGTTAAGAGGTTGCTGCCAGCTCCAGCTTACTGTGAAGATGGGAGGACACTTCACATGGGCCRTCCCTGAAAAGAGGGTTTGTTTTAGTTCAAGCTGTAAGGGGAATGTCTGCAGTTCCCTCATGGGTAGTGTGCTGTGTAGCCCATTGCACCCACTCCTCTGCCTCCCACACACCTGAGAAGTGCACAGACTCTGCTGACAAGTGCTGTTTGGTCCCACACTGCTATGCTACGCGACTGCAGGACATTGCCATCCACTCCACAGTTCTCTCAGCGCCTTGTCCCAAGGTAGTTGGTGGAAAGCAGGACCACGTTGTGCAGCAAGAGGGACAGCTCAGCTTCTGGAAATACCATCAACGTTAGTGGTTTGGCTAGAGGACTATCTACCTTCTTGCCTCAGWTTATAGGACTTGAAACTGGAAGCAGGAAGCCAAGTAAGGGGAATCAGAGGTGATGGTTCTCAAAGTTCTCTTGCTTCATTCCAGCCCCTGTACAAATGCTTTCCTTCGCTTCCACTATATATTCATGTTAACTCATCTTCTATGTCTTGATTCATGTGATGACAGTAGAAAATTCAGAAGTGGCAATGGTACTCAGCACTACTGTTACCTTGGCATTCTCCTGGTAGAAATGGGCACTCTAGGGCATTTCTCAGCTTCAAGATTAGTATACCTACCCTGACATGCAAAGGCCTAGAAAACATCAAAACCTGTGCAAAAGTTCTGAACAGAAGACTGATACGCCTGATACTCGCCCTCAGATACTTTCTGTTTAGCTAGTAGAGTACTTTTCTATTGTTTTCAATTCAATGCCTTTAGATCGGTGCTTCTTAACTGGGACAACTCTGCCCCTTTCTGCTGGACCCCCAACCCCAGAAACATTTGGCAATGTCTGGAGATATTTTTGGTTGTCACAATTGGTGACGAAGGGTACTACTGGCATCTACTGGGCAAAGGTCAGCAATATTGGTAAACATCCTTTAATGCACATAGACCCCCTCAAAAATCAATAGTGCCAAGGCTGATAAATTCTGCTTCAGATTAGCATGCACTCCCTCTTGTCCTACCACTCCCTCTCATCAGTTTAGTTACCTACCTAAGCATGGGGTAGGCATGTGAGTTTCTTCCCTTTCAATTAGATATAAATGTTAGATAAAGATCTTAAGATTATTTAATAATTAAATCCAAAATTATCTCAGAATTAAATACAAAAATGACTTGGATTTCAATGGTATAAGCATGGAAGCTGTTTTACCTTTCAAGCTGCAGGAAATTTGTAGCCATTCTCCCAGCCAAGTTCGACACCTGTCTTCTGCAATATGGGTAGAATTCAGGCCACGAAGATAACAAGCCTATTCCACTCAGAAGAGAAATCATCCTTAATAATCACACAATGAGTATGCCAAGGAAATGAAATCCACAAATAATCCTAAATCTGGGGCTGGGGTTGTGGCTCAGCGTTAGAGCACTCGCTTAGCATGTGCGAGGCCCTGGGTTCGATACTCAGCACCACATAAAAATAAATAAAGGTATTGTGTCCGACTACAACTAAAAAATAAATATTTTTTAAAATAATAATAATAATCCTAAATCTTCTTTAAATAAGTTACAACCTCATTCCATAAGAGACCTTTCACCATGGCAGATTGAACTAGTGATAGAGGACAAGCAAAGAGGCTGATTCTGTAGTATGGATTTTAAATGTCTTGCAAAGGCCCATCTATTAAAGGCTTAGTTCCCTATTTGGTGCTAAGGGGAGGTGGTGAAACTTCAAAAAGTAGGGCCTACTGGCATTGTGGGACACTACCCCTCTTCATCTTCCTACCTCTCTTTCAATTCCATGAGGTGAGCAGCTTTGCTCCACTATCCACTCCCAGCCCTGATGTGCAGCCTCACCACAGACCCAAAAGCAATGGGCCGACTGTGTGGACTGAAACCTCCCAAACCATGAGCCAAAATAAACCCTTCCTTTTTTTTAAACTAGTTATTTCAGGTATATTACAGTAACAGAAAGGTGATTAACTATAATCTAAAACAGAAGGTCTAAAGTATACTGTCTTTGGTGTTTGAAGAACCAGAAGTACAACTACTATGGGTGGTTCCTTCCTAATAGCTATGTATATTGAGAAAAATGACACAGAAATAAGGTGAGAGAATAAAGACTTAGCAAGACAAGGAGTCCTTGTAAGCTTCCAGCCTTCTATGGGATATTGCTTGATGTTGCAATCAAGCCCTTACCGATTTTACTTCCTGAGCAGTCAGCTGGCCAATCCCCAGCTTTGCCAAAGCCCTGTCCAGCTGGTGAATAACAGTGGTATGAGTCTTCAAACGATGCCTCAAAAAGGGAGGAGGCAGGTGAGGTGTGAGAAGCATGGCCCGGCTCAAGGCTTTCTGTGATACGGCAGGATAGGAGGAAAAAATCAAATAGTATCACTCAAAAACCTGAAATAACATGAGGCTGGGGGAAAAAAGAAGTCTTTAAAGTGCTTACCATCTGCAAAGTCTGGAGCTGGTTCATGCCCAGAGGATGGTTACAGAAACACTCTCTGAGAGCCAGGATTTCATGTACAGCTGGGTGGGTACCATTCTGTATCTTGGGAGAGGTAAGATTGGGAGATGTTAAGAGGGTCCTGAGTAGCGCCCATACCTAATTTTAGTGTACACTGGCTCTAACAAGACTCCTAATTTGCAGGAAGAGTTAATTGGAAGAATACCTTGGTGCACAGGTCTGTCAAATGCCACCGAAGTCCTGGATCAGAAATGAGAGGAATGACCCTCTCTAAATTACTAAGGATTTCTGAGTGGGACTGCTTCCGGAGACCATGATAGATATCTAAGAAATCAGTTTGTTGTTTTGGGGTCCAGAAATGTTTAATCAGTAGTTGCCTTGGAAATAGGTACCTGAAAAGAAAAAGAATCACAAAGTTACTTGCTGACACTAACATCTTTCAAAGAAAGCATTTGGCAGACATGGATGCTAGCAAGAAGAGTGGAGACACTATCTACCTCAATGTTCTTAAGTGAGTCTCAAGCTCAAAGTTTAAAGATATACTGAAGCACAATTTCAAGCAACATTACTGAAATATGATATGAAAGGAAGCAGTAGTAGAATAGCAAGCATGCAGCAATCAGATAAAATGACTCCTTTTGAACTAAACATGTAACAAACATGTTTTGGACAGAGTTGTAGACAGAGCTGGACACTGTATGTAATGTTGACAACCTACTAATCACATGGAAAAAGGTAATAAATTTATGGATAAGTTCACTTTTCCACATGTGTGGTAGATTTATTTATTTATTTAAAATTTTATTTCTTTGTTTATTTTGCAGTAGTAGGGATCAAACCTAGGAGTGTCCTATCTCTGAGTTACAGCCCCAGCCCTTTTTAAAATTTTATTTTGAGGCAGGATCTCACTAACTTGCYGAGGCTGGCCTTGAACTTGCTATCCTCCTGCCTCAGCAGCTAGAATCACTGGAATTACAGATATGTGGCACCATGTCCAGCTGTGTGGTAGTTTTAAAACATAGCCACAAATTCTCTGGCATTTCTCTATGGAGAAGTAAAGTTTATGTCGCCTTTGTTCAATCTGGGTAACTGATTCAGCCAACAAAATAGAGCAAGAGTCTATGAACTCCAAGACCAGGTTATTAAAGGTCRACATGCAGCCACCGAGTATGGTGGTGCACACCTATAATCCCAGCAGCTTGGGAAGCTGAGCCAGGAGGATACTGAGTTCAAAGCCTGACTCAGCAACTTAGTGAGGCCCTATGCAACTTAGCAAGAACCCATCTCAAAATAAAAAAAAAGGGGGCTGAAGATATGGCTCGATGGTTAAACACTACTGGGTTCAATCCCTGGTACCCCCTCCCCACACATTATAAAAAGAATAACCCTGGATCCTCCAAACTAGTACATTCAGTAGCTAAAAATCACTGAGGAGATGTTGTCAACACCACATGCATGGGAAAAGTCAATCACCTACCCGAGTCCTTCCCAAATTCTTGACCCACAAAATCATGAAAATGGGGTGGTTTTAAGCTATTAAGCTCTGAGGTTGTTTACTATTTAGAAACAGTAATTAGAATAACACGAAAGGTAACAGTTTAGAAGTATCATCTTAGGATACAAAGTAATAAAGAATGATATCAGAATATGAAATGCATTATTTTCCTGAAGAAAAAAAATTTGCCCAGTTTACATGCTTCTCAGGGATACTGTTCTTAGGGATAATGGAGAAGATCATGATCTTACTTCACATGATGAAAGGCAGCTAAGTCACCTATACCTACCACTGTGATGCATCCTGATAACCAATGTATTACTAAGGGACTTTTAAGAACCCTGGGATAATGAGAAGATTGGAGCAGAAAGCTGGATAACCTCTGCCTAACTTCTGAAATGAAGTTCTTCCTAAAATAATTTTTAATTAAAAAAATCTATATATCTTCAAGATGCTGGGGATATACAAGCATGTACTCACATTAGCAAGAAGACCAGGTAGTTGGCAAAGGGTGGAATGGAAATGATACCTAGGAAAAGACACTTGGCGATGTCTCGGCGGAACTAGACAGAAATAAACAGATGTAGTTTTAACCCAAGTAAGTTTTTAATATAATGGACAACCCCTTCCATCCTTTTGTGCAGTAAACTTCTATTACAGCCCAGTAAAATTACCAAGTTTATTTTTATCTACTTCTAGATGGTAAATTCCTTGAGCACAAAGCCTCTAATTTGTTCACTTCTGCTTACCAAATAATATCTAGTACATTATATCAAATCCCTCAGTGAATGTTTCCTGATCTTCATAATGGGTCCTAGATTCTTACTCTCAGCTTCAACACTGCCCATCAAGTTACTATACTTATACTTTCCTGCTTCCCTATGGATCCTTGAAGATTCTCATATATTTAGAAATAAGCTGGATTTTATTGCCTACAAACTTTATTCAAAAGTGTGACAGACACTCTATGGAGCTCTGTTAAGGAAAGCTGTAATTCTGAAAGAACCCAATTCTGGTGAAACATCAGATACTCTCATTGAGTTGAATACTTGATTTCACAGCAAAGGGGAGAGGCTTGATCAGTGGTGAACAAGGAAAGAAAAAAAAATATACTTGAGATCTTGGTTAATTGTAATTACCTCACCATGAATTTCTGGGTATCTGCCCTTGGCCCATACCTGTCTCAAATGCTCCATCTCCCGGTATGAAAGTTGATGAAACTTTATATTGTGCTTCCACATATTTATCTTTATTCTTCTAGCCTTTTTGGCATCAGCCCATAACATCTGAAATCCTGCCTCATTAAAGTAGAGGACAAAGTGTGATGTTATCCAAGATTGAATCTTCCACCGCATCCCCCTCTACTTTCATTTACACATGCACATACAATTGCCCACCCAACAGTACTCTATATAAAAGCTTTAAACTAGGTAACTTGAAACTCTTTTGAGGCCAACCCATCCTTTTTCTCCCAGCACACCACCTCTCATCCAGCTAAATTGGTTGGGTTAATGTGATCTGCTATGGAATGCTCTCCCTCTTTAGGTTCATTACTTGCTCCTTTTTAAAAATCTAGCTCAGTTATCTCAGGAAGTCTTCCTCAATTAACACTATGTATTCCCTGCCAGTTATTAACTTATCTCCTTTCTGGAACACTATTTTAAAAATATTTTATTATTTTTTAGTTGTAGTTGGACCCAATACCTCTATTTCGTTTATTTATTTTTATGTGGTGCTGAGGATTGAACCCAGGGCCCCACACATTCCAGGCGAGCACTTTTCCACTGAGCCACAACCCCAGCCCCTCTGGAACACTTTTATAAGTTATGTAATTCAACATATTTCTATGGTTGTATTTTATATCTTCAATCTATGAAAATTCTTACATTTATATATGACTAATTTTTTTAAATGGTTTCATATTTACAATTGAAATGATATCTCTATTAGCTACAAAATAATATAGAAATCAATAAGAAATCTTATTACCAACTATCAACCAAGCCATGAGTAGGTAATTGCTGAAGTGAGGTTGAGTACAGGGAAGTTAATTATATTATTCTCTCTACTTCTGAGTATGTCATAAGATTTCCATAATAGAAGGTTTTAAAACAAATTAAAATACCCTGGACTCTTTTTTTCAATCAGACAAGGCAGCCATTTTTATCTCCACTTTATAGTTAAGGATAGGTCGTTTTTCTCTCCCCCCCCCCCCCCAGTGCTGGGGAATTGAACCCAGGGCCTTGAACATGGTGGGCAAGCTAAGCTATATTCCCAACCTTTTTTACAATTTTATTTTGAGACAGGGTCTCACTAAATTGCCCAAGTTGGCCTTTGAACTTGCAATCCTCATGCCTCAGTCTCCCAAGTAGCTGGAATTACAGGTGTGTACCATCACACCCAGCTAATGATAGGTGATTTTTCAGGTCTATGAAGCTGCAATAATTATGATAATATTCAGTTCTAACAATGTGGTAGTTTATAATTGGTATTATGATAAAAGTACAGAGTATAATATTAATAGCTAATACTGGGCTCTTTCTAGAGATTAAGAACTGTTCCAAGTACTTTATTTGTGTTGATTTAGTTAATCTTCACAACTATAAGGGCAATAAGTAGGTCCTATTATTCTCATTTTATAGATGAGAAGGGACAGAGAAGTTGAATCACTAGTCTATCACTAGTCTACTCTTATGGCCAGTAGTGACAAGGGATTTAAGTAAGGCAATCTGGCTCAAGATTGGACTTTTGAATATATATATATCCCAGATTGGTCTTGAACTTGCAATCCTACCTCGGCCTCCTGAGTCACTGAGATTACACGCATGAGCCAATGTACTCAGCATACACACACACACAAACACATATATATGAAATTATATACATATGCATACATATACATATGCATATATATGCATATATGCATACATATAATTTCTTAGTAACTAACATTAAAAAAATCAGCCAAGCACAGTGATGAATGTCTAGATCCAAGTTCAAGGTGAGCTTCAACAATTTAGCAAGACCTCCCCACCCAGCAACTTAGTAAGACCCTGTCTCAAAATACAAAGTAAAAAGGACTAGGGATGTAGAACAGTAGTAAAATACCCTTGGGTTCAATCCCCAGTACCACCAAAAAAAAAAAAAAAAAAAAGTAAAGGCTGGCTATGGTAATCCCAGCTCCTGGGGAGGCTGAAGCTAGAGGATCACAAATTCAAGCCCAGTCAGGTCAACACCACAAGACTGCATCTCAAAAATACTAAATAAATAAATAAAGGGGAAAAAAAGACGAAACCAAGTATACATAGTGCCTTTTCTAGGCAACATGCTACCTATAGATTTAACAAGAATTAGATCACAATTTCTTTTTTCTTTTCTTTCATACTTTTGCAGTATGAAAGAAATTTGGGGATCAAACCAAGAAGAGCTCTATCACTGAATTACATCCCCAGCCCTTTTTATTTTGAGATAGGGCCTTGCTAAATTTCCCAGGCTGGCCTTGAGCTTGTGATGCTCCTACCTCAGCCTCCCCAGTAGCGGGATTATAGGCATCCGATACCATGCCCAGTTAGGCCACATTTTCTTATGGGCCATGACAAGGGATAAATCATTGGGCAAGTCTGTACAGCCATAAATCCCTGTCTTTATGAGAGACAAGGAATTTCTACTATAGCAAAAACTGTGGTTAAGAAAAGCACAAGAATATAATTCTTCTACCTCCTGTGTTGTCAGAGGTTGTCTCTCAAAACATCTTTCTAGAAACATTCTTTTTTAAAAATATTTTTTAAGTTATAGTTGGACACAATATATTTTATTTATTTATTTTTATGTGGTGCTGAAGATTGAACCCAATGCTTGGCACACACTAGGAGAGCACTCTACCATTGAGCCAAAACCCTAGCCCCTCTAGAAATATTCTTAAGAAGTGCTAATTTATAAGAATTAGTTTAATGCTCAAACATTTATGAAACAGAAGATATCCCAGCTCACACCCCCTTMGCAGAACTTGTAAATGATTTTACTTATTCCAACTCTCTGACATTGCCCAAGAGCTGATTCGGTTATTTCTATTTTAGCTTTGTTTTTACCTTTCATGAAGGTTGTGTACAGGATATAGAAGCGGGGGAAATGACGATTCAAGAAACGATGGTATTTCCCATTAATCGCTTTTGTCTTGGTCACAACATAAGAGATCAAACTCTTCACGTCTGCCTTTGGAGAAAGGTGAAGCTTTGACGACCTACAAGGAAGATCAAAGAGACTATCTGGGAACCAGTCCTAGAAACCCCTCACACCTGGGATTCCTAATGTAAAAACAAGTCTCAGAGAATGTATGTCAAGACTTGAAACCTGAAGTTCAAGAAACTTGATCTTGGGGTCAAGGAGAGAGAAGCAATCAGATTGAGAAGGACACATCAGGCAGAAGTCAAGCGGGAAGAGAAGTCTGGAAGTGGTATGAGCCTGGACAGATGCAGGGCTATGGGGCAATCTGAACTGMAAGCTAAGGACAGAGAGGGTGGATGGAGATAGCGGCGGTAAAACCTAAGCCAAAAAAGAGAGGCTGAAAGATGAGCCCGGGTTGTGGGGATCAACCAATATGAAACACTGAGAGTCGAGAGGGTCAGAAATCAGGTCTCTGGCCGGGATCAGAGTTCGAATCCTGCAAAGAAGAATAAAAATCCTGGGGCCAAGGAGTAGAACCCTGAGAATAAGAAAGCAAGTTTGAGCCGCTGGAAAGGCCTGTCAAAAGTGCTTTTCTCTCTCCAGATCCCTCACCAAGGGGCTCCCCAAGCAAAGCCAGGGCGACCAAGTTGCAGTCTCCGAATGACAAAGGGTCCAGGGGTGACGACCGAACCCCAAAGCGCAGTCCGTGCCCAGCACACCCTGGACAGCGCCATTTTCACAGCGAGGGAGGGGGGAAAGAGAGGAGGTCGACTCCAAGTCAAAGTTCACTACCCGTTACGCATGCGCCTTTCCTGAATGCTGATTGGTAGCCGCAGCCTGCTTGGCTCCCGCACGTGTGTGTCTGAGGAAGGTCTCAAAAGGCAAGAGCGGAAGGAGGAGCCAGGATTGGATAAGCAGTCTTCTCTGGTGTAGTGACGCCGGAAACCGTCTCTCCCCGAGGGGGCAAGGGCTGCTGCTTCTGGAGGGGTTTGCGATCCAGAGGTCGCCGTCTCCTTGAAGGCCCTGGTGCCCTCTGCAATTCCCTAGAGCCTTAGGGGTTCCCCGCGCTGCCCTTGACCTCCGCTCGGGGCGACGGGGGCCTTGATCGTTAGGTGTCAGAAGTCAGTTTGGCATTGCCGGGGAACTCGGCGCCTCCTGGGTGTGAGAGGACCCGCGGCGCCCTCTCCTGGTGGCGGCCTAATAGGCCGTAACTGTCCACTTGCAGTCATTCGGGACACTTGGTGATTTTTTGTTTGTTTGTTTTTTTGAGAACAAATTTTTTATTCAATGATAGTCCATCTTTAGATGTTTCTTTTTCATGTACACTTTATTTGTTTTATTAGTAAAGCCCTAAAAAGGGAGACCAGTTAATCTCCCTTTTTATTTTTATTTCCAGAACTAGGTTCGTGGAAAATTGTCATTCGTTATGTGTGTACAGCAGAAGTCCAAGCTCGATCTCAAATGTTACTTCTCTGAAAGGCTTTCTCTGACAACCCTCTTTGAAATAGTGCCCACAAAAAGGATACACACTCTCCTCCGTGTCACTCTTTAGTCTTTATTTATAGCACGTATTACTTATGTTGTTTATATATTTATTAACCTCGTTTCATCAGCTTTGTGAACCTGAACTGTGATTTATCCCTTGGCATGGCCCAAAAGAAAAAGTGGTCTACCAGGGCACAGTAACGCATTCCAATCCCAGCTACTTGGGAGGTCGAAGGGAGACCCATTTGTCCTGTTCGCTGCTGCACCTTCAACATTAAATGACATATTTGGTATATATAGTATATGCCAAGTACATATTTTAGAATAAATTAATACTTGAAAGGATTTCTAGAAGTGGCATTTAACTGACTCCCAGCATTAACAGTTCTCTTGGGTACATAGGAGTATTTAATCTCCATGAGGGGTGGTAAAGAGAGCATTCCACTTAAAACCATGGAATCAAGTATGTCTGTAATTCTAGTGACTAATGACACTGAGTCAGGAGGATGGTAAGTTCAAATCCAGTTTCAGCAACTTAGCAAGATGCTGTCTCAAATTTAAACAAAAAGACTGGCATGTTGCTCAGCACCAGCATCTCTGGGTTCAATCCCCAGTATCAAATAATTAATAAAACCATGGTATCTAAATTAATRTTAGTACTGCCATTTCCTTTAAAGTGTGTAACCTTATACATGTCACTTTAGCTCTGAGTTTATTTCCTCCACAGTAGTACCTATCTTAACAAGAGTTCTGTGAGTGAGAAAATGGTTTTGAGAGCTCCAGAATCTATATAGTGTTTTCTTGGTCACAGAGGTTTATGTCGGCACAGCTGTTCATGATTATACTACTCAGGCAGTATAAAAACATGGTCCTGGAGTGGGCCATACTCTACAAGTTGGGTGAAAGAGGTAAATGGGTTAGAAACTTGACTAAGGCATGAAGTGGAAACGGGGGACAAAATCAGAGGCAGTTTTGTGGAAGAAATGGGAAGGAACTATCCTAGGAAGTATCAAGTAGAGGGAAGACATTTCRTGCAGTAAAAGAATATGGCAGGAGGGCTGGGATTGTGGCTCAGCAGGAGAGAGCTCGCCTAGCACAGGCAGGACCCAGGTTCAATCCTCAGCACCACATGAAAATGAAGGCATTGTGTTGTCTCCATCTATAACCTAAAAAATACTTAAAGAAAAAAAAAAAGATATGGCAGGAGCACAGGAATTCATTCATTCCTTAAATATTTGGTGTTTAGTGCTTCTCCCTTCATGCTATCCCAAACTGACACACACACACACAAGCCTTGTTGATTCTTCCTTGAAGCTACCAGTCAGCTTCCTTCTATCTTCTCTTCCTTTGCCCTAGTCCAAGCTCTGAGCCTCTGGTCCAGATTACTGCACCAGCCTCCTGGCTGGTTTCATTGCTATTTGTTTTTTTGTTTTGTTTTGTTTAGAAYATCTGTAAATTTTAGTCCTTTCTTTACCGTTACCTAGATCACTTTTGATTTAGAAGATCTGAAAGTTAGTAACTGCCACAAGAAAACACCAAGCAGTGACACATGTCAATTTTCTACAGAGTGCTGCTTCCCAGGGTGTCTTAATAAACCACTGAGGGTCTCTGCTCACTTTGTTGGAATCACTTGTGCAGATTTCATTGCCATTTGCTTTGTCCTGCTCTAACCAGTTCTCCATGCTGTATGTAGCCAGAGAGAACCCCCACCCACTCACACACAGAGACACTAGATATTGAACTCAGGGGTACTCTCCCACAGAGCTACATCCCCTTTTTATTTTATTTTTTTTAATTTGGAGTAAAGATCTAGCTAAATTGCCCTAGCTGGCCTTGAACTTGTGATATTCCTGCCTCAGCCTCCTGAGTAGGAAAGGGCTTTTAAAATTGCAAACCAGGAGCGGAGGCCCACACCTGTAATCCCAGCTACTTGAGAGGTTGAATTAGAGCAGGTTGGGACTTTATGACCTTCCCACAGTGCCTTAGATGGCCCTATCGGGCCAGTGAAAAAGCCAACTAGAACTTGGAGAATGATATTGACTGTAGGAAGTTAAATGAGGTGATACTTCCTATCTATGCTGCCATGCTGATATTACACAGCTACTGGAGAAGGTCAGTCCCATCCTCCTTTTGCTCTGTGCATCCTCTTCTGGACTTGGCTAATGCCTTTTTTCAGCATTTACTTAAAACTAGACTCAGCAAGACCAGTTCACCTTCACGTGGGAAGTAAGGCAATGGACATTTCCCACTGATATTTTCTGGTTCTGGTATATCGTGATTATACTTTGTTATAGGACATAGTAGAACAACCTTGCACTCATCTATGCAGAAGGTAATGGTCTGTCTACCCTAATGATACTGCTGGGTATCTGTGACAAGTTTTTGCTTCCTCACTTGTTGAAGTTTGAACATTAGAGAAGCATGCCGAGGCAAGCATATAAAGCAGGGTTTATTTTAAAAAGGGTAACATAGAGTTCCTAGATTTCTCCCAGGAGGGAGAAGGGGGCCATAGCTGGTATCCTGGTATCCCAAGAAGTGAGGTGATCTGCCCTTTTTRTATGTCCGAGGCTTTCTTTGTTCTCCTGCCCTTTTCCCCTTATCTTTATCCCTCTTGCAGAATGGAACTACCCTTTGACCCATTTATCCCACTCCTTGGCACATACCCAAAGGACTTAAAATAAGCATCCTATAGTGACATGGGCATATCAATGTGTATAACAGCTCAATTCACAATAGCTAAGCTATGGAACCAACCTAGTTACCCTTCAACAGATGAATGGATAAAGAAAATGTAGTACATATACACAATGGAATATGACTCAGCCATAAAGAAGAATGAAATAATGGCATTTGCTTGAAATGGAGACTATCACATTAAGTGAAGTAAGCCAATCCTTAAAAAACAAAGGCTGAATGTTCTCTCTGATATGTGGATGCTGACTCACAATGGGGAGGGAAAGAAGGAGTGGAGGTTCATGGGATTAGGGGGAGTGGGGATGGGAATCGGAAAGACAGTAGAATGAATTGGACATAATCCTATGTTCCTATATGAATACATGACCAGTCTAACTCTACATCATGTACCACCACAAAAATGGGAAGTTATACTCCATGTATGTGTGGTATGTCAAAATACATTCTACTGTCATGTATAACTAAAAAGAACAAATAAAAAGTCTGCAAAAATAGGATGAAAATATCACACGGTGCTGCAGTTGGCTTCCTGGTCTGGCATGCCATTTTGCCGTTAGTTTTACAAATCACTCATCATGCTGGCCTGCTAGCATGTGAGGTAGGTTCCTTCATACTACCTCCAGCTGCTGTCACCCTACTGTTTAACAGAGATAATACCCCCAGGATTGTCTTATTTATTGGATAGTACACTTTTATAAGTCCCTAGTAGACATTTTTTTCCTATCTTTCTTTTTTTAAATTATTCCACTGGAACCTGTGCTATTATCAAACCCAAGTTGATAACTTTGTCTGTTCCTAGCCCTTCTATAGAAGACATGCTAAGTCACTTCTTTACCTTAAGCAGGTAAGTTTATTGTTATTATCATTTGAAAACCTGTCTCTTTTCATGCTTGTGTCTCTGATTGCTGTGGACTATGCTTACAAGTCAGACAAATGGCCTTGCTCCATGTTGCCTATACAAAGCTAAAACCTCTCACAGCCTCAGGGCACAGTTGTGGAAGGGGCAGGACACATAAGATTGTAAAAGTGAGGAGTGGGATGTATAGGTACCCTTTGACATTATTACCAGTTTTGACCCAAATGGAGTCCTTTTTCCTCTTGGAGTCATAGGGCCAACAAACAAAAACCAAGAACTAGCCAGGCACAACAGCTCCAGAGGCTGAGGCAGGAGATGGAGAGTTCAAAGCCAGCCTCAGCAAAAGTGAGGCACTAAGCAACTCAGTGAGACCCTGCCTCTAAATAAAATACAAAATAGGGTTGTGGCTCCGTGGTTGAGTGCCCCTGAGTTCAATCCCCGGTACCCAAACAAACATTGAAGGAAAGTTTTATTCTGAACCAAATAATAGGAGAAGCTAGAATGTCATAGTTATAGGTTTTCTATGGAAGCCAAGAATGCTGTAAATATAAGTTAAACAAAATGAAGGGGAGGGATAGGTTGAGGAAGGGAGGAATATTCGTATCATTTTTAGGGATGGGTGGAGATTTTTTAATAAACTGGACAAAGCCTTTTTTTACTTCTTCGTCTCTTCTGATCAATTCATGGTGATTGAGAGAGCAGGAATTTTACTAAGAAG